GCCCCTTCAGGCAAAAGCTGCCAGCCCCAGACCACGTTGCGTGAAAGGAAAAGAGGGGCCTGCGGAGGGAAGAAGGGCGCAAGGCCATGTGCCGGAGGGGGGGATCCGCTGCCTTTCCCGGCAGGGGTCTTCGGCAGAGGGATGCAGAGGAGTGCTCTGGCCCACTAGGCTGCCTGGCACCCCCCAAGCCCCTTTTCTTTCCAGTAGCCAACGCGACACGGACGTGGCCCCTGTCAGCTGGGGGGAGACCAGCGCTGCTCACTCCCTTGGAACTGCTCACCTTGCAGGAGGTGGGGCAGCCCAGGCACTTCACCCGACCACGGTGGGGCGGGGGCAGGACTGTCCCTGAGTGCTCTTCTGTAGCTGCCCCACCCTGCCCCCCACCCGGTTCTTCTCGTGTCTCTCTGTGTTTGTGCTCCAGACCATTTGCCCTCCCCTTCCGGGCTGAGGAGAGTTCTCATCTTCTGTGGGTTTGGGGCAGCCCCCTCCTTGTTTCTCGTCAGAAGCTCTCCTGGTGGCCTCCTCGATGACAGTGTTTGGGTTTCAGCACAAGGCAGGGCTGGAAGGTGCGTGGCCTGTGATCTCTCCCCCAAAGCCATAAGGACACATCACTGTTAACAGTACTTGGGCTAAGTGCTAGCGGGATCCGTGCACTTCCAGGAGGCTGGCGGCTTTTCAGGCGCCCCCAGCCCAGGGCGAGGGCGGCAAGCAGAGCCTGCCCCAAGGCCTGCAGCAGCACCCACCCTCTGGGCTTCCCACTCTCTTGGCTTCTGGGGCCTCTGCCCAGACCCTGTTGTGACTGTAGGGCGGGCCCTCTCTTGCCACCCCTCCCCTCCCCAGATTCCAGGTGGGAGGAGCCAGACGGGGAATTCTGCTGGGGCACACACACTTGCTCTCTTTCCTTGCTGCCCCACCTCAGAGTCTTCTGCTGCTGGGCCTGATCAAGCGGCCCTCGAAATCCCCGGTCTTCTGGTCTCACATCCTCCCCTTTGGGGTTGTTGTGTTCTCTTCATTGTTGTTGTTGTCTTTCAAATTGGAGCCCGTTTTCCATTTTTGGAGGGCGTGTCCCCCTCACTGTGGCAGAATTTCTGGGTGAATGATGATGTCTCTGTATTTAGGGTATTATTATTTTTTTCTAAACAGAAACAAAAAAAAAGCAATTTCTAGTTTATTTCCCTTAACATTTTAGTACTTAGAAAAGCCTCTCTTTTTTTCAGTATTCCAAAATAAAGCTCTCATTCAGTAATTTATTTGTTATCTTATGAAACTGTCTGGAAAGAGATTTTATAAAAGAATAAAACTTTTAAATGAACTTGCCCTCCCTCAGAACATTCTAGTATGGTTTGTTTGGGCTCCTCTCAGTCTCCACCCTCCGACTCCCTTCGGACTCCTTTCCCTCCCTTTCTAACCCAGGGGCCTCAGGCAGCTTCTGTGTTTCCTGGGGACGCTCCGAGGGGCTTGCAGGGTGACAGCTGGGCCCCCATGTGGGGTGGAGGAGCAGCACCACACTACTTTGAGCAGCCATGGATTTCCCCCACGAATCCTGGGAACTGTAGTTTGGCCAGGGCACTCTTAGCGGTTGGGAGATCCTCTGAGCTACAGTTTGCATTTTGTAGGTTTTATCTCTGTGAGCAGAATAGGGCGTGGGAGGTTTCTCCTAACAGCTCACGGCACCTTTAACAACCAACGCCAGGAGGCTGTGGTTGAATCTCTCTTTCTGGCCCAGGGGCAAGGGCCTACAGTGCCTCCTCTTCCCCGTTGCTCTCTCCCATCCGGCCCTGAGAAGCAGTGTTCCTTCTCCTATCACCAGCCACGTCTTGGGGGAGCGTCTGCCTTCCTGTCCGTTCTGATAAGGAGTCCCAGCCAAGCAGAAGCGGGCAGCAGGCGCTGGGCCAGGTCAGCCGGATTAAAAATAACTCCTCCCCTGCCCCAGGTCAGGAAGCACCAGGAGGTGTGCAAGAGCAGCGAGTTGGGGGCTGGAGGAGGCAGCCAGAGAAGGCGCAGTGGGCCAGCTATCCCACTGGGCAGTGGGGCTCTCTGGGCCGGCTCAGACACCATTTCATGCATTTCTGAACTCCTGCCACTCTTGTTCAGCTCAGGTCCTGCTTCTGGGCTTCCCCTTAAGGTCCTTGTGGTTGACCATGAGAACAGGATGCAGGCCTTTGGCTGGGTCCAGCTGAGCCAGACTCCTCTTACCTTCTCTGCCTGTGTAACAGCAGCTTCACCTTGCCTGACCTTAGCCTGGATTTTTCAGAGCTGCCGCTACACGAACACAAAGGCAGGAGGTAATTGCTCTCCAGCATCATCCAAACCAACCCCTGAGAAGTGAGGATGGGATTTCTGCAGAAATCAGAGCAGCCCTGGCCCAAGGAAGCATTTCTAGCACAATATTACACCCCCCCCCCTATTCTGCAGTATACTCCTAAACAAGGAGGCTCTCTTGAGCTGCCAGGGCTGGTTACTGGGTGCAGACAATGCTTTCCCAAGTTTGCTACAGCCAGAGGCTCTCAAAAAGATGCCTACTGCCTTGCAGCTGGTCAAGGGAGGCAGAGAAAAGCAGAGTGGGAAGGGTTAAGAGAGTTGGTGACAGTTCTTTAAGCTTGGGCCACCCGCGTCCACCCCTTGAAGGGTCTGTGCCCAGGCTGCTGGAAGTAACGCGCATGCAGTCCAGGTGGGTCCGAAGTCAGCAAGAAACCTTCCCTGTTCTACACACCCAGCAGCTGGTTGACTGCCTTGCTCCAGGGGGCTCTATCCGAGCTGCAGTTGCGGCGGGCAGGGAGAGGCCTGCTGGCTCCGCGGCGGGAAGGATGGAAGGTCCTCCTCACTGGGCAGCGGCTGGGAGGCCTGGTCAGGAAGGGGGCTCTCCTTGCAAGCGGAAAAGGAGCCCCTCCAGGGCCCTTGGGCTGCTGGCGGGCGAGGGAGCCGGAGGCGTCTTTCGGAGATGCCCCTCGGAAGGGACTCTCCGGCCGGAGCGCGCCCTGCAGCAGCCCCCGAGGCGCCCACGGGAAGGAAAGGGTCCCGGGCTGGCGGCGCGGCTCCTCCTCTTCGGAGCGAGCCAGGACCAGACCGTCGGAGCTGCGGCCGGAGCAGGAGGGCTGGCTTGCTCTCTCGGGCCGGCGCTGCTGGACCGGAGGTAAGCGGGGCGGCCGCGGCGGAGGGAAGCGCCCTGTCTATCCCCCTTCGGGGCTCGCCGGGCTGCGGGAAGGAGGGCGGAGAGCGCGGCGGGCGGCTGTGCTTCGGTCCCGCCGAGGGGGGGGGGACCGTTGCCTTCTTGGGAACTCGCCCCGTGCCGCTGCTCTGCGAAGGGAGCCCGAGAGCAGGGGGTCGACTCTGCCTCCTTCCCCCACCCGCAGTGGAGCTGCGCCGCATCCAAGGCCAGGCAAGTCTCCTCCCTCTGTGTCTCCGCGGAGACGACGGTCCCACTCGGCAGCTCCTTCCTCGGGAGTAAGACCCTTTCTGCCGCCCTGCCAGGCGGGCTTTTCTCCCAGGAAAGCGGCGGCCGAGGATCGCAACTCGGCTGCTCTAGCGCGCTATCCCAAGGCGGAGGCGCCGCCGGCCCGCCTTCCTCGCGCCTCGAGAGCGCAGCTGAGGCGTCTGGAGGACAGACGATCCTCCCTGGAGGGTCTGTTCCAGGGTCCCCAGTCCCGCAGCCCCAAGACCTTTTCCCAGCAGGGACCAACGCCGCCTGGCCGGTTCCTTGCATTTATTTGCTTGCCCGGGATTATCCGCCCTCCTCCTTCCCCGGAGCTGCGCGTTGGGAGGCGCGCTTCCCGCCCGCCCTCCCTCCCTCCGAGTCCAGGAATTTGCCGCTTGCGACATGTTTCCACCGCCCTCGCCCCGAGTTTTCCTCCTGCCTCAAATAAGGTGTTTGCGCTGCTGCTTCGTCTGGGGCGTGCGAGGCCAGCTGGGAAGACAAATGCGCCCCCGGAGCAGCAGCGCCGTCCAGCTCCAGGCGGGGAAGGAATGTGTCCGCCGGGATGGATGCCTCGGCCCGCCCTGCTCCTCCCCGTCTCCAGGGCCAGGATCCTCGGGCTGCCCGAGATGGGAAAGAGGCTGCTGGTGCTCCAGGGACCCGGCCTGGCTCGTGGGATCCCTGGCCTGGCTGGCGGCGAGACTCCTTCGCCTTCCTCCCGCGGCTTATGAACGCGCGGGCTTCTTTCGGGGTGGGGGCGCCGTGAAGCAAGGCCCCCCCTCCCTCTCCTCCTGGCAGGCTCCTGCCCCCCCTGCTTCTGCCTCCCGCTTTAGCTGCCAGGACAATAGCGGCCCCCAGCCCGGCTTTCGCCCCCTCCCGAGCCTTTGGTCTCTCTCCAGGCTAAGGGATGGGCCGCCGGAGTTCGGTGGCAGAGCAGCTGCTCGGCGTGCAGAAGGTCCCGGATTCCCTCCCCGCAGGGCTGAGAAAGGCCCCCGTATCTGAAAGCCCGAAGAGCCCCAGTCAGTGCTCTGACTCGGCAGATAAGGCAAGCGCGATGTGAGCCCAGTCGCCCCTCCTGCTGTTGTGACCCCCAGGGCGGGCATTCAGAGCCTTGTTGTTTCGGATCCTGATGTAGATGTATATGCGTGCAGCCGCCCCAGACCTGCACCTCACAGGCGGGGTTCTGTTTTCTTACGGAACAGGCCTCTCGCATTAGCAGCTGCTTGAGAGTGGCCCGTCCGCACCACATCCCGCCTTGCTCTCTTGCACCATCGCGCAGCAAACGCCGAGTCCAAAACCTGCTGGGTTCCTGCAGGAAGTGGCGGCTGTCTTGCAGCGCAGCCCGCCGCGCACGAATCGCCGGGCAAGCGCGATCCACAGGCCCCCGGGTCCGCCCTGCGTGCGCGGCCTCCTCCGCGACCCCCCCCCATTCCTGCTGCCGCCCCGCTTTCCCCCGGGGGGGGATCGGGCGCGTGGGAAGCAGCTCCGGGGGGCGCTTGGGCTCTCCGCCCCTTCCCGCCAGGTGTGCCGAGGGCTCCTTCCGCAGGAGGGCGAGGCTCCTCGGCTGGGAGGGGACTCGGCTGCCGGAGCCCCAAGACGAGGAAGTGGAAGCGCCCGGAGGTCGCGATGGTCGCCTGCAGGTGCCTCCCGGAGCTCCGAGGGCGGCGGCAGCAAGAGGGGCCCGTGAGAGCGAGCGCGTGAGTGCGGGGAGCCGGCCAAGGGGGCTCCGTCTCCTGCAGCCTCCGGTCGCCCCGCGGGGGGAATCCGGCCTGTCTGCGGGGAGAGAGAGAGAGAGAAACCCCCCAATGAGGAAGTCGCTCCTCTCTCCGTCGACGAGGCCCGCGGAGAGGAATCGCCCCCGTCCCCCGGCGGGGAGGCCGAGATCTGCGGGGCGGGGGTGGCCTGGCACGTGTGGAAGGGCCGTGGGAAAGTGTGGGGCAGATAGGAAATCGCCCGGTGCTGGTGCGGGCGGGGAAGGGCCTCGGTCCCGGCGGAGAGCAGCCCATCCCTCGCAGAGGCTGACCGCTTCCTTTCCTTTTGCAGCTGATGGCCAAGGATGGAGGGGGCGAGGTCCTTGCCAGTGGTGAGGGGGCGCGCCTAGCCAGAAGCCCCGAGGTGAGTGGGGCATCCGGGGCTGGGCCTGGGCTGCTGCCCCCCCCCCCCCGTCCCAGCTTGGGCTCCCAGCATGCTCAGTTCACAGAGCCCTTCCTTTAGCCACCAGAGACTGCTGTGGTTCCAGGAAGTTCTAAACATTTCACATCATGTGCTCAGGGGGCTTGTTTTCTTTTTAAATCAGGGTTGGCCAAGTGTGTTTATTTCTTTGTAAAGCATAGGGGGGTGGGAGAAAATGTGTGTGCCAGAGCAGAATGAATGCATATTGTTGCCCGTTGCCCCAATCTCTGAGCTGTGCGAGATGCCAGGGGTTTCAGGCCCACTCAGGGATCATCCTGGACATGATGTATATTTTGCTCTAGGAAGCTTAGTTTGGTCAGAATGGAGTCTGCACTTCCAGAGTTAAGATTAAATACATTACTTCTGGTAAATGAGCCACCTTAGTCACTAGAGGGCCGTGAAAAATGGTGTCCCTGGCTTTTTAGACTTGTCTACCCATGTACTATCTGAAACCAAAGGGCGCATTGGTTGCAGGATGTGAATTTTTTTTCCTGGTCTCTTACCCTACTACCAAGAACCTTGATTAAATTCTAAGACTTACTGGGTCCAGGGCTTTAGGGGAGTCTGGCACCCACAAACACATAACAATATGAATGTCTAAAGAGGTTGGGGAACTTGCAGAAGACCATAAAGCCCTGGGTCCAAAATGGCCTAGTTGCACTACAGTTGGTAGAGTTTAATTACGACTGTGGGGTGCGTGGCAGGAAAGGGCCGAGACCAGGGTGCCCCCCCCCCACTGCAGGGGCTGCCCAGGAAGACTGTGCAGCATTTCCCCAGGACATCTTGTTCTGCTAACACATAGTGGGCTTTAAGGGGACACAGCCACCTGCTCCCGCTCTGTCTTTGAGGGGGGCTGGTTCTGTTCCACAAGGTCCAGGTCCCCCCCACCCTGGATGCCCTGAAATCTCTCCCTCAGCTCTCACCTGCCTTGCCTTCTGCCCAGCACTGCTGCTGCCGCCACCTACAGTGAACCTTGCCAAGTTCCTCCCCCCACCTTGCACTCAGGGAACGGGTGCCTTGCACACCAACGGCAGGCAGAATGCGGGGAGTGGATCTGTCAGCTTCTGTGGGGGTCCTGCTGGGGCTGGCAGGTGGGGAGGGGGGCATCCTTTGACCTTGCCCTCCATCCCTGCTCTCTGCAGGAGGCCCTCTGCAGCCTGGATGATGAGGACAATGACGAGGTCTTTGAGAGCCCGACAGCCAAGGCCCACGGCCGGGCTGGACCACGTCAGCCACCTTCCGCCACTGCAGCGTGGATGAGCTGTACGAGCTGCTGGAGAAGCTGGGCAGGTGAGGACCCAGGAGCACCGGCGGCCGGTGGGAAGAGCAGGGCCGGGAGGGTCTGGGGACAACAGAACGGGTCTTCTGGGCCCAGCCCCCAGTGGGAGAGGCTCCTGACAGCTGCTGCCAGTCAGTGTAGACAGTGCAGAGCTCGATGGCCCCTGCTGCTCGGACCTGACCAAAGGTCTCTTGCTGTGCTCTTATCGTTGCTGCCCTTCTCCCCCTCCTCTCCCCACTCAGCGGGCACTTTGGGGTGGTCAGGCGCTGCCAGGAGCGCTGCACGGGCTCCTTCTATGCCGCCAAGTCCGTGAAGGTGCGGAAGCGAAAGGGGAGCCGCCTGGGCCTGGACCGCGAGCAAGTGGAGTGAGAGGTCTCCATTCTCCAGCAGCTCCAGCACCCCAACATCATGCGCCTCCATGACGTCTTTGCCGGGAAGGGCGAGGTGGTCCTGATCCTGGAGCTGTGAGTGTCGGAGGGGAGGGGGTGCTGATTGGGGGCTCCAACTGTGGGACTTGCTTTTGGGGTCCACACTCTGGCTTAGTCTGCTGCAGCAGAAGCAACAAGTTGCCTTGTTGTGCCTGAAAATATTCCTAGCTTTAACAAGAAAACCTCCATGCAAATGACCGCAAAGTGACCTCCAGGCCACCAAAACTCCTTTAACAATAAACCTGTTTGGAAGCCTCCAGGCTGCCAGCATTTTGCAGGAGGAGCTCAGTTGCACTTCTGGTTTGCACAGTTAAGAGTGGAGTCAAAGGCCTCTGCCACCTTTGCACAGCAAATCATCTTTTAAAAATGAATGGGCTGTTCATGGTTTGGAAGGTGATGGAGAAAAGCATAGAAAAGCATGAGATGAACGAATTACTAAAGGGAAGGCATAGACACACCCTGTACGAGGGGAAGGAGCAGAAATCTAACTGTTTTTGAGACTTCTGTCTCCCAGTTGCTCATAAAACTGGGGGTGCCACTACTATCGGGGGGACGGGACTCCAGGTCTCATGACACCTTTGAGAAGGCTGCAAAATAAACAATCTTTTGTAGCGCCTCGTGTTTCTCTCCCCTCCATAATTCCCAAAGTGGGGCAGCTTAGGGAAGAGGCGGCTTGCCCCGGGACACACGCCAGGCCAGCTGCCCCAAATCCACCCTCCCTCTCCCCCCAGCATCCACGGAGGAGAGTTGTTTGACTTCATCGCAGAGAAGGAGCTTCTGACGGAGACCGAAGCCATCCAGTTCCTGCAGCAGATCCTGCTTGGCCTGACCTACATGCATTCCCGGCGCATTGCTCACTTTGACCTCAAGGTACGCCAGCCCTGTGAGCTGCTTCCTGGATCTCTGGAGGCTTTTGAGCAACACAGGAGTCTTCTCTGAGGGTGCGCTGGTCCTATCTCCTTCCCTGATCTCTTCTGCAGCCAGAGAACATCATGCTCTTCCAGAAGGATGCCCCCAACCCCCTGATCAAGATCATCGACTTTGGCCTGGCCCAGAAGCTGGAGGAAGGCGTGACCTTCAAAAGTTTGTGTGGGACTCCCCAGTACATTGGTAAGAGGGCGGAGCAAGCTGGGGTCCTCTCCTGTCCCAGAGCCCCCGGCGGAGGAATCTCCCGTGCCCTCAAACCAGCAGCTCAGCCCCTGCTGGGGGCCGGGGTGGACTTGGCCACAGCAGAGAAAATGTTGCTGTTGGTTGTCAGACTTCTTAGTTGCCTCTTACACAAAAAAATCTCCAAGCGACTTAACAACACCTTTAAAAGCTTAAGCATACCTGATAAAAGAGACACGTTCTCACAGAAACACCTGCAATTAATGAAAACAAATGTTTTGGCAGCGAAGCGAGAGTGTCCCAAAGGGCGTCCCGTTTCTTGCCTGCTGCCTTCTCCCAGACACTTCCCCACAAAGGCAGCGCAGCCCATGAGCTCCAGAGGGTAAGGGCAGCCATGAGCCAGGGTAAGGGCAGTGCAGCCCATGAGCTCCAGAGGGTAAGGGCAGTGCTGCTCATGAGCTCCAGCTGCCATCAGCCCCAGCCAGCCAGCGGCCAGGGAGCAGGACGGGGGGTTAGTCCTGTGACATTGTCTAGAGCAGGGAAGCCAAGACCAGTCGGGGGTGGGCTTGGACTCCCAGCAGCCAAGAGTTAAGGATGGTGATGGTGGAGGAGATCACCAGAGTTTGGGTTTGGAGGGGCTCCTTTTTAAAGCTGAAGAGAATAAATCCAGGAGGAGGTTAGGCAGCACCGAGGCTGTGGTGGCTGTCTGGGGCCCGAAGGCCAGGGAGGTGTCCTGCCTCTCTGGTTTAATGGGAACTCCGTTTTGGTTTCTCAACGCTGACACCGTTTTGCCCATTTCTTCTTCCTCAGCTCCTGAAGTGATCAACTATGAGGCTCTGAGCACAGCAACGGACATGTGGTAAGAAGCGGTAGCAAGTGTGTGTGTGTGTGTGTGTGTGTGAGAGAGAGAGAGAGGAGAGAGGAGAGAGGGAGACTGACTCTGTGCCCACATCCTGCATGCCCTTGGGTGGCTGGGGCAGGTGGGGGAAGAGCGAGCGGCTGAGGGAGTGAGCAGGGCCCTCCAGGAAATGCTCACATGCCAGACTCAGGCCTCCAAAGCACCACAGGAAAAAGGTGCACAAGCTAAGCTCATGTTGGGTTTGTGTTTTACCTGTCCAATATAAAGACAGCCACCCACACCTGCCCCTGGGCTGAGGCCTTCCTCCAGTCCCACCAGTCCTCCCTGAGTCTTCCCTCTGTCTGCTTGGGGTGGCCCACCCCACAGCCCTTCCGCCCTCCGTGCTGGATTTTGCATGCCCACCCAGTCCTCAGGTGTCCTGTCAAGGAATGTCCTTGCTGGGTGCTCCCTTCAGCTTCTCTCTCTCCCCCTTTTTCTGCCAGGAGCATCGGCGTGATTACCTACATCTTGTGAGTACCCTGAGACTCCCTGTATTTGAGGCTGGGGGGGGGAGTGGGCAGTGCTGGTGATGGCAGTGCAGGGCCTCAGAATTACTTACGCCTAGGATGCATTTTAATTCATTAAAAAATTGAATTCGTCCTCAGAGGAAAAGAACAATTAGAAAATACTTTTTAAAATGGTGCTAAAGACAATGACTCCCTGTCGTCTCAGCCTTTGATGACCTGAATGGCTTGATTCCAAAATCTGGTCTCAAGGTCTGGCCTTGCTGCATTGCTGCTCTCCTCCTGGCCATGGGTTTATATTGGATCCCCCCCCCTTTGTGTTGTATAGTATGTTTTCATTGCACCTTTACTGGAAGCTCTCCTGCAATGACAACGTAATGAAGGGCAGTCTATAAATAAACAAAGGAAGCTGCGTCTTCCCAAATGCCCCTCCGTTCTGCAGGTTGCCAGCATTGTAGGAGCAATGGAGGAAATGGCACCTGGAGGGCAGAAGGTCTCCCCACTTTATTGGTCCTCTAAGCTACTTTCTGTAGCTGATTTTTTTAGGAGGACATTTGTTGATTTTGCATAAGGCTCCTTCAGTAAGTGCAAGCTCCCTTGGAAGAAATCAGATTTTTAAATAATTCTTAAATGATTGCACGCCCGCCCACCCATGCTTGTCTGCTCTGAATTATGCCTGCTTGTTCCCCGCCATGAGGTTTCCTTTTGATCCTACCTTCCCTCTGCAGACTGAGCGGCATGTCCCCCTTCCAGGGAGAGACGGACGCAGAGACCCTGACCAGTGTCGTCTCCGGCAACTATGAGTTTGAGGACAAGTACTTCAGCCAAACATCGGAGCTGGCCAAGGACTTCATCCGGCAGCTGTTGGTGAAGGAGCCTGGGTAATGGCCCACCAGGGGTGAATCTCTCCAGGGTGCTTCTCTCGGGTTCTCAGTTTTCCTGTCTTAGATTCAGTTCTCCACATTTCAACAGCAATCTGCAATGAAAAAAAGCCCTCCTCATCAGCATTTTGGGATGGATTTCTCCTAATGGACACATTTTGCAATGCTTCCATAATGCATTTTTTGTGTCTTACTTTTACTAATATGTGTATTTTTAATGAACACACGACTTGGCTGGAAGCTGCATTCAGAGGAGTGCAAATTTTGAAGGATGGCTACCTTTTGCTCCTCAAATTGTTCTGGGAAGTGCAAACAAGGGAGATTTGCCTTTGAGATTCCCCCCTCCTTCTCTCCCTCCTGGTGGGAACTTGGCTCAGTCCCCAGAGGGATTCTCCTGCAAGCCTCCCTCTCTCCCCTCCAGCGGGGAAACGACAGAAAGTCAGGTGTGCGTTTCTCCCTCTGTGTTTCAGAGACCGAATGTCGGCCGAGGAATGCCTCATCCACCCCTGGATCAAGGTCAGAGCCTGGGAGGGGAGGCTGGCTGGGGAAGCTGCCTTAGACTGAGCCAGACCTTCGGGATCTGTCCTTGAGCTCTTGGTTGAGATTTTCGGGACCCCTCCTAGGTTTCTTCTCTGCCCCCATCCTGGCCTGAACTGATGGGGGAGGGGAGGCAGGAGGATTTTGGCAATGGGCAGAGTTGCAGGTGCCTGTTTTTTCCAGCCCCTGACCCGGAAGCAGGTGGCGAACCGGAGCCGCTCCTCCATCAACATGAAGAACTTCCGCAAGTTCAATGCTCGCCGGAAGTGGAAGGTAAATTGAGCAGCCCCCCCCCCCCCGCCTGCACCCTCCAAGCCAGTCAGCAAAAAGAAGCCAGAGGGTGCGGGACACCTGTCCCTTGGCAGTGGGGGTGCCCTACTCTGATCTGAACCATTATTATTTATTATTATTATTAAAGTTTCATTTATGAATTGCTTCCTATGAGGCACTTGAAGTGATTTGCAGTGAAACAAAAGCCTATCTAAAAACAGTTGCTTGCACACATGAAAACAATTCAAAAATCAAAACAGCAATTGCATACAGTTGTGCCTTGCGACTCGAAAGATTTGGGCCGCAAATCTGGAAGTGTGCGTTCTGGTTTGCGAAGGTTCTTTGGAACCTGAACATCCGACGGGGCTTCCGCAGCTTCCAATTGAGTGCAAGAAGCTCCTGCAGCCAATTGGAAGATGTGCCTTGGTTTTGGAACGTTTTTGGAAGTCAAATGGACTTCCGGAATGGATTCCGTTTGAGAACCAAAGTATGACTGTATTTAAGCCCAGTTTCAAATCCCAACAGCTCACCATCTCCCCTTCAGAGGCTTTTTGAAAGAGACACCTGTGGGCTGTGGGGGGGGGGCACAAGGTCTTCCTGCGAGAGGCTCTGGGCGCCTCATCTCTGCATTTCCTCTCCAGCTCTCCTACAACATGGTGTCTGCCTGCAACCGCCTCTGCCGGATGGGCCTCCTGTGCCAGCAGAAGCGGGACGAGGAGAACTTGGTGAGTGCCCTTTCCTGGGCGATGGCCTCCTTGCTTGCCCTGCTTCTCAACTCCTGACGAAGAGGAGGGGGCCGGGGACCCTTCCCTGCCCCTGACCCCCACGTCTTCCCTCCCAAGCCCCCCTGGCCTGGCTTTCGTCCCCTTCACTCTGCCTCCTCTGCCCCCCAAACAGCGCGGCTGCGAGAGCGACCAGGAGGGGGAGGCCAGCAGCCCCGTCCCCCTCTTCCGCAGGCGAAGGAGCAGCTGCTCGTGAATCAGGGACACCGGGAGGCAGCCTGCTCTTCCAGCCCCATCCATTCACCAACCCAGGAGGGTGCGGCACAGCCTTCGACAACCAGCCCATGGTTGCTGCAATGTGGACAGGGAAGGGGCCTGCTGGGAGGGAGCCCACCATTAAATGCCTGCGTTGCCCCACACTCCTGCTGTGCCAAGAGGGGGGGGGGCTCCCATTGTGGGCGGGTGACAGCTGTCTCTCTGCCCCCAGCTCCCTGGGGCTTGGCGTTTTCCAGCAGAGGCCAGCATTTGGGCCTTCTTAAAAAAATGCTTTGTATGTAAGTTTGCTTTTGGGGAGCGGGAGATTTACTTCCCAACTATTTCTGACCTACTTGGGGAACAGAACTCCACTCCCCCCCATGCCAGAACCCCCCCCCCCACTACCCATCCCTTCCTCCAGGAATTCGTGACCAAAAAGGGTCCCTGGTCCCTTTTTAATAACGTGCATAGCGTTAATGACATCTATACAAGCAAAGAAATGAAACATCTGTGTCTTCCTGCTCGGCTGCTTTGTGTTTTTGCTGAATTTGGTTCAAGTTAAAAGGTCAACGACTGCTTCACAAAGGGGTTTGTGAGTGATTCCCAAGGATTCAGGTGTCCCCTCTTTCTAGGATTTCATGAAGGGACTGTAGACAAGTTCTTTCCTCTCTCTCTCTCTCAGCACCTATAATCTCCCACCCACACAGTCTGCACTGGGGGAAAAGTAATATCTGCCCACCTTGCAGAGATGCTGCCACGAGGGTTCGGGGGCCACCCTGTAGTTTAACTAGTTCAGCATAGAAACTGCCCTTGGGCTTCCTCTAGCTCAGTGTTGCCTGCACTGACTGGCAGCAGTGGCCTGCCAAGGTTTCAGATGAGAAGCCTTTCCCACCGGCACCTGGAGATGCCCTGCCACTGAGCTGTGGTGGTCCTTCCCAAGCCAAGCGACACGTTGCTGCCCCCCCACAACTGCTGCCGAGGTGGGAGAGGTAGAGGCGGCCATGAGCCCAGCAGGGCAAAGCACCTGGCTCTGTCCTCTTCCCAGAGTGGTGTTGTTTAGTCGTTTAGTCATGTCCGACTCTTCGTGACCCCATGGACCAGAGCACCCCAGGCACTCCTGTCTTCATGCCTGTTACCTTTGTCCATGGAGTTTTCTCGGCAGGGATACTGGAGTGGCTTGCCGGTTCCTGCTCCAGGTGGATCACGTTTGGTCAAAACTCTCCACTATGACCTGCCCATCTTGGGCGGCCCTGCACGGCACAGCTCACAGCTTCTCTGAGTTATTCAAGCCCCTTCGCCATGGCCAGGCAGTGATCCATGAAGGGGCTTCCCAGAGTAGACAGCAGATAAAAATCATTCCGGAGGCTGCAGTGGACAGAATTGGCCAGCAGGGGGCACCACAATGCAAGGACTGAGACCGTGGGGAGGGAGGTCAGGGAGGGCCAGTGTGAAGAGTTCAGGGTGGTTTTTGTGGGGTGGAGTAAAAAGGGTTTTCTTGTGGTCAGCAGAGGGTGCTCCAGTATATAAGGACTCTGGTCTTCTAGATATTCACACACACACTTTCATACTCGTGGAGAGAATTGTAAAAAGTATTACCAACGTGGTGAATTGTTTCTGTTAATTATGCAGCTATCATTGTTTGTCATGCCCTGTGTTTCATTTCCTCTGACCCCACTGTTTACAACTCCGCCACCACTTTGATGCCGCTTTGTTTGATATATTTTGTATGTCTTAAATTTTCGTACACCACTTGTGACTTTACTGGACAGCTGATGGTTTTGCACAAGGCCTCCGCGGCCCACAAAAGTTTATTATGCCATAATAAATTTGCTAGTCTTTAAAGTGCTGCAAGATTCTTCTGTTCCTTTTGCTTTGGGGCGGAGGGCCTCCTCCTCCTCCTCTTTGGCAAGCGATCGCACCTCCTCTCCCGTCCGCTGCTCTGGAGCCTCTTTTCAAGCTGCCATTGCCGCCGTCCTGGTGCGTGACTCTGGCACAAGGCTTGTGACCTGCCTGCTTGTGTTTGTGGAAGTGCCCTCTGGAGCAGGGCAGGGGAAGAGACCTGCTTGCAATGTTGCACTTGGCCAAGACGACTCTGCACATGCACACACCAGGAGGCCTCTGGCGAGAGCAGACCTAAGTGACAGCCCTCCTTTGTCAGTTCTTGCACATCATGTGCCCCAACTGAGCACGAAGGCCAGCGGAAGAGGGAGCGTGCGCATCGTGCAATATATATTTGCACATAGTTTTAAAGAGCACAAGTCATCACAGACGCCACGCTTACTTCAATGCAGGACTGACCTTTGGGGATGCAGGATTTTTGTGTGGCCTGTTCATTGTTTCAGCTTTGGCTGCCTAGATTTTGGCAAAGGCTGTCCAGGGATTAAAGTGTTTGTACGATCTGTCAAGTTGTGCCTGAATGATTATTATCTGCTCTGCGGCTCGTTACTTAGCCAATTGCCTGGATACTTCACAGGCAACCTGTTTTGCCAGGGGTGAACTGTTTGAAATCATTACCTAAAGTCCTTAATTGAGCAAGTTGAAAAGGCTGGCTTTTGGAAAGCCACGGTGAGACAGGGAGCGACTAAACAGCCACCTGATTACTAGCGTGGCAGCTGCAGCCAACTCCCTCATCATGTTGAATAATCCAACGCCTTTTCTGTTTCGAGCTGTCAGTCTGTCAGTCATGCCCTCAGTCTTGACGAAAGCAAGTTGGGCAGCCCTTCTGGGTGCAATTTAAGGTAGCAGCTTTAATTTTACAGATTTGAAAACTATTTCACAGCCAGAAGGTGAAGCACAAAAGATTTGAGATTGTGCACACACCACACATTTAGAGCACATGACTTCCCACTAAAGAATCCTAGGAACTGTGGTATGTTGTGGGTGCTGGGAATTGTAGTTCTGTGACTGCAGTTCCCAGGGTTCTTGGAGTGGGTGGGAGCAGAAATGCACTTTAAAGGGGTAGCGCTTTAAATCTAATAGGAGCCAAACTTGACAACATAACCTAGTGGCTGAAGGGCCAGGAACCCTAACCTTAAAGTCCCACCTGTGGTCTCCAGCAGGTTGTTACCGTCCTCCAGTTTTAGTGAAGAAAGGAGCAAACAGAGTTTATAATGAAACCCAACTTTGTGAAGAAAACTAACAAGCCCGTTTGCAAAATGAACCCCAAGCCTGATGCCTGTAAAAAGGAAAAACTTTCTTTCTGCAAAGTTTGCAGTTCACGAAGGGGTGAATGAGAGTTCACTTTGACCCGACTCTGACTGGTTGAAAAGTCAGCAGTTGGCAAGGTTTAGTTGTAAGGAAGCCACAAGCAACATTATCTTTAAAATTCGGAATCTGCTAAGGCTTGTTAATGAGGAGGATTGGTGTGATCTTTTACCTTGAATGAGCATCTGAATTTGGTATCTTCTAAATTGGTACCTTCCAAATTTGGGAGGGGCACCTGTGTGGCCATTGAGAGGTTTCTGGACTACAACTCCCATAATCCCTGAGCACCAGGCACACTGGCTGCTGAGAGTCCCAGTAGTGTCTGGAGGCCTGCAAGTGCCCATTAAAGTTAGGACATCTCTGCCTTAGGTAGAGAAATCCCAATAGGAAGGATAGTGTTGTACCTTTTATAATTTAGTGTGTGTGTTTAAAGGATTATTTATCCTGCTCTTCCATCACAAATGCTCCCCCAGTGGCTTACAAATTACTTTAAAAACATAAAGACAGTTCCTGCTCTCAGACATACAAACTAAAAACATGACAGAAAAGGAAAATGGTTTGAGAGGGAAGAGGAAATGAGTGCCATCTGTGACTCAGCCATTCAGGCGACCGACAGAAACCTCATGTGATCTACTGAGCTAACTGAGCTGCAGAGACAACTTTTGGGAGGGATCTGAGTGGGGATACTGGGGAGGGCGGAGGGGCAGGGCTGGGTTGGTGCTTGCAGTGAAGAGTCCCCCTGAGCACGTGCAGAGTGCATTGAACGGGGCAGTCCCCCCGTTTAGGGATTAGAGGAAAGGCATCCGATTGTTGCCTAGGGGGCAGCAAGGTTGGCTGGAGAAGCAGAGAGCGGTCCCGGTCCTTGGAACAAATCTTAGCTCCACCTGTGAAATGGGGACTTTCTTCTGCTCTGTGCTCTCTAGACAGAAGAAGAAGGAAACCTCCTCCCCGAAAATGTTGGATAAGGAACGTACGACGCTGCCTTACACATACTGCATCGGAGCAATGGTCCATCCAGCTCCCCGTTCTCCACACACTTTCTGGCAGCCGCGGCTTTCGGGCAGGGCATCTCCCACGCGGAGATGGTGCCAGGGGGGACCTGGGCTCTGCATGCCAAGCAGCTGCTCTGCCCCTGAGCTTCCGCCCTTCCTCCCCGAACAGGAGGCGCTCCTGCCAGTTAGTGCAGCTGATCTTCTGCCCCCCCCCAGTTTCCTGCCCTGATTCCCCCTCTGTTCCTCTTTCATTGGCGCCCCTTTTGAGCCCCGCTCTTCTCGCCTCTGCACCCCGTTCCTGCCCTGAGGTGCTTTCCCTGCCCCCCACCCCTCCTGATTGCCCCCCACTTTCTCTCCCTCCAGCGGCTGCTCCTCACTCCTTTCCTTATTTCCCAAACAAGAAAGGGAAGCCAGTTCCTCCGTCCAACCTCATCTTGCTCCAGTTATCAGGCTAAATATTTTGAAGTAACAACCGAAAACAAACTGCTGGAACTGGCCCAGTTCTGGCTCTCCAGCCCTCGAGCAAGAGGCGGGCTGCTTCTCCCCCCCCCCCCCGCCACACACAACCACAACGGGCAAGCCGTGCTTGTGTGCCAAAGGTCCTGTGTTGCCTGTGCAAGAAAGACAGACGGGCTCCGCCCCTGAGCTGCCCTGGCGGGGGGGGATGTGCCCGCTCTCCCTCCTTTCTCGGTGCCCCGGTGCCGGACTCCCAGGGGGGCCAGAGGCTTCTGGGCAGTAGGATGGAGAGCAGCCGCCGCCGCCGCCGCCCCCGGGAGGGACCAGCCAGAGCCCAGGGGCTGCTGCTCACCCCTTTGCTGTGGACCTGACCCTCTGTGGTGGGAGGGGGGCCCCCCCATGAAAGAGAAACCCCGGCCTCTTGTGATTGAGAGTGGAGCCCAGCCAACGTTTCCACCCCCCCCCATGTTGCCCCCTCCCCTCCTCCTTTGCCCTCCAGAACTGGGGTGTTCATGGACCATGGAGCGGAGGGTGAAAGGAGGGAGCCCCGCTCTCGCCTTCTGGCCGGCCAAGGAAGCCCTGCTGATCCTTTGCCTCTTCTGGCTGGCTCCGCCTGAGCCCGTTGCGGCAGAAAGTAAGTGCCTCTTGCGCTGGGCAGCTGCTGGGTCGCTGGGGGGTGCAGAAGTGCTTTGCGGGGGGGGGGGTGCCCAGGTGGTGCTTTGCTGCAGACTCAACTCTCTCCCCCCCTCCTCCCCAAAGCGTCAGCCCAGGTAGGAAGAAGCCTTCGACTTGCTCCCCTCACCCAGCGCCCTGCAAACTGGCCCAGAGCAGAGTTTGGAGATCTCCGATTCCGCGCTCAAGAGTTGGCCAGACAAACACCCCCCGTACACTTCCATGCAGGACTATGGCAGATAAAGGCCGGGTGGCCGGGGGTTGTTGTTGGCAGAATGTCTCTTATGGGCAGCTGGGTGGTGCTGAGAGCCCCCCGGGCTGACTGGGTTCCGTATTTGAGGGGCTTGTCTGAGGGGGGAAAGAGCTTCCCTTTGGAGTGTGTTAATTATTGTAATAAAGGATCTCACTGGGCAAGAGCTCCTGGTATTTAACCCATCAGTTGTCCTGATCCGCTTATTAAGAATGATGTAAGGCAGGAAAACTCTTGACTGATAAACTAATTGCAGCTAGAATTAAAACTCCGCAAAAAACACACGAGAGCAGCTCCGAAGCCCCTGCTGGTGGTGAAACCGGCTCTCTGGATAAGATTTAAGAGAGGAAGAAATTGTTTGACTCATGTTGTCTTGAGCGTGTCATTTTGTCTTGAGTGTGTTCATATTTCTGCGTGTTTTGTTTTTAAATAGATGATTTGGCCAAGGGAGAGTCTCCTTTACTGATGTGTTTATCGTGTGTGTTGGCTGCTAGAAGGGAGAATTACTTTGTGTCTTTGTTTTATTGGTCTTCGCTGAGCTTAAGTATTTATTTTTTTCCTCTGGGGAAATTCAATAAAAAGTCTGCATCTGTACTGGAATTGCTTAAGCACATCTAAAAATATATATTTAAAACAATAAACTGTTTGCTTCTTGCTTGCTGCCCTGGGCTCCTTGGAAAGAAAGGGTGGGTGCGTGAGTGAGTGAGTGAATGAATGAATGAATTGACTGTGGGCACCTTAGAGACTTAACATATTTATCATGGCCTAAGCTTTCATGGACAACAGTCTACTTTGTCAGATGTGAGCGGACTGTAATCCACAAGTGCACTTATGCCAGACTTTGGCAACCTAGTCACACAATAGTTCTCTAACTTGGGTCTCCAGCTGTTATTGGACTACAGCCCTTGGCGTCTACCTACCTGTGCTGTTGTGGATAAAGTGAGGACAGCAGGTGTGTGAGGGAACAGGGACCCAAGTATCTTGTGTAAACTGGCCGGATTTATAGGCCAGGCACACAAAAGTAACTTTCTCTGTTGGCAAACAGAGCAGAACCAAAACACAGAGGTTCTTGCAAAGCAGGTTGTGTTTGGCTCAACTGAGGGAAGAATTTGCCCCACATAAGAGGGGAAACCACCCCTCAACCCCCAGCCCATTGAGTCAGGAGCAAAAGGAACAGATGGTCTGATGCTAGTAAGTGGCAGCAGGGCACCCTGGAAACCGGCAGTTGTGGGGATTTAACAAGACCCCCAGCAGTGGGCAGAGCCAGCAGTGGGCAGAGAGGGATTGCTGCTGTGAGCAGAATGGCAGAAACCAGGCTGTGTGGCTCCTAAGCCCCCCAGGACCGTCAGGTTTCACAGAGCTGCAAACTGGAACTTACCCTGCTCTTCCCAGCCCTGCTTGAGTCAACTGGTGTATAATGAGGTCAACCCAAGCCCCTCTTCCCACTCCTGTTGCCCAGAAATTGGTATTATTCTAAAGTAATTGCTCCCTCTGGCAATGAAGGCAGCACACAGCCATCATGCCTAGCTTCCCTGAATACAGTGGTACCCCGGGTTACGGACGCTTCAGGTTACAGACTCTGCTAACCCAGAAATAGTACCTAGGGTTAAGAACTTTGCTTCAGGATGAGAACTGAAATTGTGCTGCAGCAGCGCGGCGGCAGCAGGAAGCCCCATTAGCTAAAGTGGTGCTTCAGGTTAAGAACAGTTTCAGGTTAAGAACGGACCTCCGGAACGAATTAAGTACTTAACCCGAGGTACCACTGTATGTCTAATCCTCTTTTACAACTGTTGGCCATAACTTCCTCTTGTTGAAGAGAGTTCTGTGGTTTAACTGCGCTCTGTGCAAAGAAGTCCTTCGTTTTGTCAAACCTGAATTTTCCAATAATCAGTTTCATTGGGTGTTGACAAGTTAAAGATTCCCTGCCTGAAACCCTGGGGAGCTGCTGCTGGCCAGGGTAGATATTGCTGTACTAAATGGGCCCCAGTGATCTGACCAGGGCCGGATTGAGGTTTGATGTGGCCCTCAGCTCCTGAAGGTAATGGGGCCCTTTATATGACCAGCTGTCCTTTGTCAACAACAAATTGTCGCTGTTTTTCGTGTTGAATATATACTATATGGTAATTTATGGACCTAATAGGTATCTAAAGCCATTTGCACATGCAGAATGTAGGCACCCTATATATAGAAAGGAGCAAACCAGTGATATTTTAGGGAGCAAGCGGGGCCCATTACTTACATCATAGGAGCCCACACAACACAAAACACTGTTCCTGTATGTAAGTTTTATTTTATTTGTTTTTATCATATTTTGGAAATGTACATCCATTTTTTCCCTTTAATTTTTTTGGGGTCCCCCAGAGAGTGGGCCCCTAAGCTAGAGCTTGTTTAGCTTATACGTAAATCTGGCATTGGGTCTGACATGTTGCAAGGCAGCTTCCTCTGTCCCTAGATCCTGCTGCCTGAGAGAGCCTTTGGTGGGGAGAAGGCGCTTCCTGTGCCCCTTTGCTGGATTCCAGGGGCATAAAGGACTGCAGGGAGGGGAGTCACAGGAGGCCTGGGTGGCAACTTTCGAGGCAGCAGCAGGAGAGCCCTAGACCAGAGATGAGTCTTTGTGGGTTGGTGGGGGGCAGCTTCCAGCTAACTCCAGGTGGGAATGGAGACATGGAAGAGGAGGCTGACCCTCGCCCTAATGGGGCCAGCTGGCCAGGAGGATCACCTTGGAGTCCAGCCAGCATCTGCCCGCCAGGCTGCCCATTGTTAACATGGTGCTGGTTCTGCCTTGGAAAGCTCAACACAGCTCATGCCCCAAGCACTACAATTTTAGCTAAGGAGAAGCCCCCACCCCGTCCCCACCAGCCCACTGGGATGGTGGTGTTTAACTGAGAAAGCTGGCTGAAAACCTTGCCCTACCATTAGGCAGAGTGAGGTGGCTGGTGCTGAGGTGTTGGGAGGACAAAGCTGTGGACTCTCTGTAGCTGGTCAATCGGCGTCATGATAGTCTTTATCAGATCACAGGCACCCCTGCATAGGGAGAAGGCTGCCTTCTTCTGAGTCAGACCATTGGTCTGCCTGGTTCAGTACTGTCTACGCTTTGTGGCCGTGGCTTTCCAGGGCTTCACACTCAGGGTCCTCTCCCAGCTCTGCCTGGCAATGCCAGACGGAATTGGACCTGGGACCTTCTGCATGCCAAGCAGCTGTTCCACTGCTGAGCTCCTGTCACTCACAAAAACCCACATCTGAAGAGAGGTGATTGCAGCTTCTAGTCCACTGTGCCAGCAAGTGCCTCTGTTCTAGGCATGAGCTTGCCTTGTCCAGCCATCTTTCTCCCGGCTCCCTGGGCAAGCCAGAGTCCCGGCTGGCACCTGGTGGTCTCTGAGGGGAGCTGGGCCCCCCTTTGCTCCCCTTCCCTTGTGCCTCCTAAGAGCACCAGGCTGATCCTCTCTTGTTGCCAGGTGGAGTGTTTGGGGTTTGAAGTTTGCGTTTACAGAATTTAGCCCCGGTGTTTATAGTAAATGTCAGTTTGGACTGAAACGTTGCTCTGGAGGTGATAATTTGGCTTCAGGTTTCACATACACACCATGAGAGAGGAGCATGGGCAGCAGCAGCAGCGGAGCCATGCCAAGACAGGGGCTCCTTTGCTGCCCTTTGCGGCCACGGGGGGGGGGGGGCAACGGACTTCGGAGCAGGTTGTCTATTTCTGCACGTTCCTGGGGAAGCCTTTTACACGAAGGGGGTGGTGACCAGGGCTTTTTGTCAGCCGGAACTCTGTTCTGGCACCTCTCAGGTGGGCGCCATTTGCCATTCTAAGAGAATGAGAGAGTTCCAGCACCTCTTTTTTCTAGACAAATAGCACTGGTGGTGCCTACTGGGGATGGGGCAGCATCTTTTGACCGCCCCCACTACCACCTGGGGCAGGCGATTTGCAGCCAGTCCTGAGGCCTTGCTGACTTGCTCCAGTTCAGGGCCAAGAGCGCCTCAAGCCCCCGTGTGTGCCAGGTGGGCAGGTAGCTCTTTCAAAATGGCCCCTCACCTCCCAAGCGCCACCCTTCCCTTGCCATTTTGACAAGCAAAGCTGGAGAATCGCTCCCCGGTTCTCCTCACAGCCCCCCCGCCCCCCAGTGAGTGTTTTGTCATACTTAGCAAACACTGAGATATCAAAATACTGTGAGCAAATATTTCCCGTGGCTATTCAGACCTTCCGGAACAGAAGCGGAACTGTTTAAACAGGTGATCAAACAGGGCTTTCCCCCTGGACATGATGCCTTCTCCTCCACATCTCTCTGGGCTGCTGAGCATTGTAAGGCTGCTTGCCTTTGTCCGTGTACCACAAACGTACCATTAGCCGGAGAAAGGAAGCAGCAAGTTTGGGCAGGTGCCAGATTCTCCTTTTGTGAAAGATGGAAGCTGAGCACTTGGGAAGCTGCAGCCCCCGTCGCCAGGAAGCCAGGAAGCCCCTCTTAGGACCATTCGTTTCCCAGCCACTCGTAGTCGTCTGGACAGCAAAGCAACTGGGGAGCTTTTTCAGGGAGAGTTCAAAGAGCCACCGGTTCAAATGCTTGGCAGCAGAGCACATGATTTGCACACAGGCGTTTTCAGGATGGTCTGGGAATGCCTCCTGTTTCTGAAACCCCGTGGAGCAGCTGCCGGTCAGTGCAGACAATGTTAAGCAAATAGATCTAGGTAAAAAGCAACATTTTATGTTTCTACTTAAATGGAAACTTTGAGGAGAGTCACCTTGCTTTATTTTTAGTGGGCGGCTGTGGTCGGTGGGACAGAGTCCCTGGCTTAATTTGTGGAAGGAGCCTTGCAGAGCGGTGGGCAGCCCTCCCAGCGGCCGCACTGGGGCAAGGTCTATGGGGAAGAGTTGCTGTGATCTCTAGGCCTGCACTCTTTCGGTTTCTTTGAATAAAGAGTCAACTTCACTCACACCGGCTGTTTTATTGCTGACTCTGGGGCCTGACTTTAGCCTACAGCTGTGGGCTGATGCTAACAAACTGCATACAGCTGCTGTTGGAGGGGAAGAGAGTATATACGGTGATATCCCACTTAAATATTTTTTAAATCCCACTTTCCAGCCCCAGAAGGGCCCAGAGCAGCTTGCAGTTCTCTACCATCTTAAAAGCCGTGACACCAAAGGAAAGTGGCTGGGGAGGGAGGAGGAGGTAACAAACCCAGGGGCCAGATTTTCTGTAAAGTGGATCAAGCCAAGCTCTTGGAGCCTCCTTCTGGACATGGCTGTGGCGGCTGCCATGATGAAATTTACCGCTGGTGGGAAGCAGGCAGCTGTCTCTCTTTGCCTTGCTGTTCGTGTTGCCCAGGAGGAGGTAATGAAAATGACCTCTGAGGGCCAGCCCCCACCTCCAAGTAAATACTGGCATCCGGGGACAGAGATTAGAGCTGGGCAGATGCCAGGCCTCCTTCTGTGGTGCCCTTCCTCTCTTCCTTCCTTATCTGCCTTTCTCTGGGGAGAGACTGGGACCGGCCTCTCACCCAACACCAGGGAGCCTGGCTGCTGGTGCCGGATGCGGCCCAAGGCCTTGAAAGGCAGCCACTGCCAGGGGCCCGAAGGCTGCTGCAGAGGACAGGAGCAGGTGTGCATTTGCAGCAGAGCCACAGTGTGCAGCCTGGCCGACAAGAGCCAAGCCAGGATCCCCACAAGGCCCACCTCTGCTTGCAAACCTCAGACTGAAAGTAAGACTTCCTTATATATATACAGTGGTACCTCAGGTTACAGGATGAGAGCAGAAATCGCGTAGCGGCGGCCCCACTAGCTAAAGTGGTGCTTCAGGTTAAAAACAGTTTCAGGTTAAGAACGGACCTCCAGAATGAATTAAGTTCTTAAGCTGAGGTACCACTGTATATAAAAAACCTTCTTAAACACCCAAAATTCATAATAAATCACTATATGAAGACCCAGTGGGTTTCAGAGAAACTGCTTCAACTGTCAGGCATCACTGGGATCAGACTGTGTACAGTACTTACCGTAAAGAAAAGCACCACTTGATTTTTTAAATACAGTGGTACCTCGGGTTAAGAACTTAATTTGTTCTGGAGGTCCGTTCTTAACCTGAAACTGTTCTTAACCTGAGGTACCACTTTAGCTAATGGGGCCTCCTGCTGCAGCTGCTGCCACCGCCGTGCGATTTCTGTTCTTATCCTGAAGCAAAGTTCAGTGGAGTCTGTAACCTGAAGCGTCTGTAACCCAAGGTACCACTGTATAACCTCCACCCCCCCACCTCTTAGCAATTTACAACAATATAAAGCATTAATAATAACAATATTGATTGCAAATAAAGGAAAAAACAGAACCTCAGAGTGGTTTACAAAATGATTAAATGAGAAAATTAAGAAAGATGAAAGATTTCCAATACTTTAAAACATGCAAGAAGTTAAAATACTAAAACAGATTAAAAAAATTCACAGCAGCATTTCTAAGCACCTGGGTAGGCTTGTCCAAGCAATTTTTTAGCAGGAGCCAAAAAGAGCCCAGCAGAGCCACCTGCTTGATCTCAATAGGCAGGGAGTTCCAAAGTGCTGGTGCCACCCTAAATGACCTCGTTCATATTAAATTTGTATACTGCCCTTCCTCCATAGTTCTCAGGGTAGTTCACAGTATAAAAATACAAGATAAAAACACAAAATAGATAATAAAAACAAGAACAAAACAAGAACCCCGTAAATGCAGAACGGCTACTGCGTGGCCCCTGTACCGGTGCCAATTCTGCCGAGCAAAGCAATTTAGAGGACACGTGGGATAAAGCTTATTTTAAAGCTTCTTGTAGGGATGTTGTTGTTTTACTATAGTATTGCTTTACTTTTCTGTTCAATGTGTCTTGCTTGGCCACTGTGACAAGAGAAATACGACTAATGGATCCATAAGCCAAGCTGCTTCAGGGTCTGGGAGGAGGGTTTTCCCTTCCACCAGGAGCAACAAGACGGGTGTTGAAAATGGGGCGTCTGGCCCAGCAGGGGTCTTGGGCCTCTCCCTGGTGGAGGGTGTGGGGAGAGCAAACTCTGCTGTAAAACTCAGGCATTTTCCTTCTAGCTATCTAAGAGTTGAAGTAGGGCCCCCACCCACTTATTGTCTGGCGCAGAGCCCCCTTTCCTTTGTTCTCTTAATGGCCCATCACCCAGTCAGTCAGGGAGCTTGCCTGGCTTCGCTTTAACACTTGCTGGATCCAAGGATTAGAGGGGTTTGACCTAGAACAATAGGTTAGGAGAAAGCCTGCATAAGCTCCTGTGTATTAGTGAAAATAACATAAAATGCAGCATCGGGGGAAACTAGGAGAGTTTAGTACGGTGCTTTTAATGACTGTTTTGTCCTGCTTTTTAATGGTGAGATATACGTCTCATCTGCCCCCTCTTGTGGCCAGCTGAGTTGGCAGCATATACCGTATTTGTCGCCCTGTAGGGCGCACCAGCCCATAGGGCACACCTAGTTTTTTGGGGGGGGAATAAAGAAAAAAATTATTCCCCCCCCCAGGCACGGGGCTGGGGCGGGGGAAGCCTGAGCTTCCCCCGACCCCAGCCCCCAGAATAGGCTGCTATCCGCAAGCCTTGGGAGCCAGGCGGGGACTCCCCGGGCTTGCGGATATCTGCCTGAAGCACGGGGCATGCTCCGCTGCGCTCCCCGGGTTTCGGGCTGCAGGCTGCTGTCCGCAAGCCTTGGGAGCCCGGCAGGAAGTCGCGCCAGGCTCCCAAGGCTTGCGGATAGCTTCCTGAAGCCTGGAGAGCGAGAGGGGTCAGTGCGCACCGGCCCCTCTCGCTCTCCAGGCTTCAGCGAAAGCCTGCATTCGCCCCATAGGACACACACACATTTCCCCTTCATTTTTGGAGGGGAAAAAGTATGTCCTATAGGGCGAAAAATATGGTAAATACTTTTCTAAATAAATAAAGTGCTTGTGGGTTTTCACGTGGGCTTAAGAACTGTTGTGGAAATGGGGTGAGCTGAATATAAGATTGGGAAAATGGGAAAGCAAATTTGAGAGGTCTGTCCATCCCTGTGTCAGGCAGAGGCCCTCTGAGGAGGTTGGAAAGAGCACCCTCTCCTCCTGGGCCATTCACACAAACAGGTGGTGGAAGAATGTTGAGATTCCTGCATAGCAGGGGGCTGGACTAGATGACCCTGGGGCTCCCTTCCAACTCCATGAGTCTAGAACCTGAGGGGGGTTTGTGTGGGTCAAATGCTGCAGTCTGAAGAGAGTCCTGTGTGCTGGAACAGTGCGGGAGGTGGAACGCATGAGCTGTTCTTCATGTCCTGGTGACTTATTTTCTTTCCCCGCCATTCCCCATTTCTCCAGTCTGCGAGAGCATGGATATCCGTGTCGATGTCTCCCAGCTGCGGAATCTGGAGAACTGCACCATCATCGAGGGCAACCTGCAGATCCTCCTCTTGTTCACCACCAGCAGCGAGGATTTCCACCCCTTCAGCTTCCCCCGCCTGGTCATGATCACGGAGTACCTCCTGCTCTTCCGCGTCTACGGGCTGGAGAGCTTGCGCGACCTCTTCCCCAACCTGTCAGTCATCCGGGGGACCAGCCTCTTCTTCAACTACGCCCTGGTCATCTTTGAAATGCCGCACCTGCGTGACATCGGCCTGCACAGCCTGACCAACATCCTGAATGGCTCCGTGCGCATCGAGCGCAACCAGGAGCTCTGCCACATCTCCACCATCGACTGGGGACTGATGCAGACCCCCCACGCCCTGGAGCAAAACATCATCTTGCACAACAAGCCCGCGGAGGAGTGTGCCGACGTGTGCCCGGGCATCCTGGACGTGGAGAAGCCCTGCGTCCAGACCCAGACCAGCCTCAAGGGGCAGCTGGAGTATCGCTGCTGGACCTCCAGCAACTGCCAGAAAGGTGGGGTGACCCAGGTCCACCCTGGGCCTTGCGAGGGGCTTGTGAATGGCTGAGCTTCGCAAGGGAGCAGAAGGGCTTTATGGCTCACTTGATTCCCATTGTGCTTCAGAAAGAGTTCCTTGGCACGAGAACAGCAAAAACAACAGTTAATCCGAACCCAAATACAATTTATTTATAGTCCATCAGCCACAAATCCAACAGTTATCATATAACTAGCTGTTGAGAATCAGGACTAAACAAGGCACGGTGGGGCGAGGTTGCTGTGGCTTTAAGAGGGGATTAGACAAATTCAGGAGGACAAGGTGGTCAATGGCTGCTGTGGATTTTGCTGGGTTTTGAGAGTGCAGCTCCTGCTGTGGCTCTCAAATGAGATGGCTGCCGATGGCTTCTTGCCATGATGCCTCTGCTCCTCTGAATATCAGGTGTTGGAAACCACGGGAGGGCAGAGGGCTCTCGCACTCGGGCCCTGCTTGCTGCCTTCCCACAGGAAAATCTTTGGCCCCTGTGAGAAGAGGATGCTGGGCTAGAGGAGCCCCTTTGGGCCTGATCCAGCTGCAGCCGGGCTCTACAAAAGCCATGCCAGTGTCCTTTTAACCCCTTCTTTCCACGCTGCCGCTGCCTGAGCTGGCAGGGCCCCCTTCCCTCTCTCCTTACACACGGACGTTCCTCCCTGGCTGGGCTCATGGCTCATTCTGCCGGCACGGCTATCTTGGGAGCCTGGCTATTTGCCACAGGTGTGGCTGGTATGATCCGGCCTGGGAGCTTCTGCATAAGTCTCCTCAAAACAAGGACCCAATAAACTTTGTTCTTTCCTGTGTTTACACAGAGGAACTATTATTAGGAAACAGGTGCTTTCCTTTTTAATTCCTTCGTGGCCTATTTTTAGGAGCTCTCCAAAATTGGAGGCATGAGGTGAGCAAGTTAGGTACTCTGGTGATGTCATTGGTTTCCCTCTTGGGTGCTTGCATTTCTCGCCTGCCCTCTAGCGCCTGGTTTTTTAAAAATGCCACCGCAGAAGGACAGATCCCCAATTCTGTTCATTTCCCACAGGAAGTAGTGATGACGACGGTGACACATTTGTTTATACCCCACCTTTCCCCGTAATGGGGCTCAAGGCAGCTTACAGATAAAAACAATAAAAAGCAACAATAATTTTAAAAAAACATGGATAGAATTAAAACTATTTACGTATATAAAATCTGTTTAAAACATATAGGCGGCAACCATTTCGCACGAGGGTTTTGTTCCCGGCCCCTGCACGCGTCGGCAGAGCATGTCTATGCATGCCCCGTCCTGCCCCCCATTCCACCCTCTTCCAGTTCCAAAAGGATCTGCACATTGGTGATTGCGCATCAATTGGACACACCCCAAACGGTTGTCACCTGTGCAAATAATTACAATACAACAACATGGCCCCAGCCATTTCAGTAAAAGCAGTCTGTTCCCAAAAGCACGTTGGAAAAGGAAAGTCTTTGCCTGCCGGTGGAAGGACAGCAAAGAGGGAGCCAGTGCAGCTTCTCCAGGGAGGGAATTGCAGAATCTGGGAGCAGCCACTGAAAAGGCCCTGTGATGACTCCTAGCTTGGCCTTAGGCTTCAGCCATGATGGCTATTCTGGAAACCATGTGCCTCTGAATGATACCAGTCACTGGGAGTCAGGGGGGGGGTGTTGCTGTTGCTTTCAGGTTCTGCTTGTGGGCTCCCCAAAGGCACCTGTGAGAACAGGGTGCTGCACTGAAAGGCCCCCCTTTGGTCTGATCCCACAGGCTCTTTCTCTGCTGCTGGTCCAGCGTTCCCAGCATCACCTCGGCGAGTTTCTGGACCCTTCCAGGCTCCTTCAGGATTCCTTAGAGAAATGCTCTGGGCTGCCAAATGGCAGAGCCGTAGCCCAGCTGATCTGTGGAATCTATTCTGTGTGGGATAAACTTGTCTTTGGAAAGGCAGCAAGCTTAGGCCAGTGTAGTATCTAGTAAGTGAACCAAGAAGAGCTACTCCTTTAGAATCAGCCCTCCATGCCCTCCTGGTCTCCTTTGCACTGTCCTTTGGGGGAGACCCCCCCCAATCAGCTGCAGCCCTGTCTCACCGTTGTGAAACTCTCATAAAAGTATGTGAGTCTCCTGGGCTTGTTTGCTGTCAACAAGAGAGCTGCTAATGAAATATACACTGCAAACAGGCAGATTGTTATCGTGCGCATGCCGCTGCCTCCTCCAGCTGCCTTGCGCTCTCCCTCTTGGACGGGCCTTTGGCCTCCTCCTGTCTCGCTGGGCGAGGCGGCCAGCTGTGCCTCTCAGGACTGCAGTGTAGATGTGTGGTGTTTCAAGAGCTGCAGCAGAGATTCCCTCTTCTGCATCACTGTCCAGCACCACCTGACCGACCTCCTGCTGGACTGGACCATCTCTAGGGCAGCGGAGAGGGTGAAAGAGGCCTTTGTGCCTGAGCCAGGAGGGCTCCTCTGGTTCATTGACTCATTAACAGACTGGTACAGGTTGGGAGGTCAGTCTGTGGTATGAATTAAGATGATCCATACAAACCCAAATGTCTATGTGCCAGTAAATGGAGGCAACTAGCTTAAATTATGCTTGGCGAGGTTGCCTCCTCCTGCCTTGCTGTTTGCTGTTTCCACAGAGCTGTTAGCTGAAGCTTTAGGATTCGAAATACTAAAAAGTGTTCAGAGAGGGTGGAGTTTACTCTTAGTTTATAGGCTGGTGACATCAGAAACAAGGCAGGAAATAAAGCACTACATTGTGTTCTGCTGCCCCTTGTGCATCCTGCCGCCTGAGGCATTCACCTCTCCTTGTCTGATGGGCGGGCCGGCCCCGACTTCTAGGGCACCTTTCAAATTAGAAATGTTTTTCCAAGGTGGCATAATAGAATATTACTAAAACAAAGCATAAAAGAGAATGGAAGTCAGTCATATGGACACTGGGCCAGGGCCAGGCTCTCAACTAAACCAATACCCATAAAACTCAGCTTGCTTTTCGAAATTCTCACTCCTCCAATGCTTATACGGTAGACTTGCAACTCACACAGAGGTTACATTAGAAATAGCAAATAAAGCAAACATCATGTATAGTCAAAACACATTGGGTGCAATGTCGGGTCTTTCTGCTCCCTTTTCAATTTTTCAAATTTTTTTTGAATGCACACAAGTTAACTGCACGTAAATTGCGGGTCTACTGTATTAGTGAAATATACACACAGAAATGTGTGTGCAGTGGAAATATACAAAAATTGAACTGGCTAAGGAGGGAATTGTTTGCAAAGAGGCATACAAGCAAAATTGTGTACAAAATTACATATTTTGGGTGAAATGTGTGCATAAATGCATCTGATTTTCATGTGGATCTGCAGACATGGGTGTGTGTGGAATAAGGGGAGCTAAAATGAAGATTGGGGGGAGATGAGAAGCTGAGGGGCAGCTCTCCCAGTGCTGCTGTTGCCTCCCACTCCAGCTTCCGCCCCCTTTCTCTCCCTTGCAGTGTGTCCCTGCAAAGCGGGGGGTGCTGCCTGCACCAGCTCCTCCGAGTGCTGCCACCGGGAGTGCCTGGGGAGCTGCCGCCGCCCGGGAGACAGCCACGCCTGCACCGCCTGCCGCCACTTCTACTTCAACGGGCACTGCCTGAGCTCCTGCCCGGAGCTGACCTACGAGTACGAGGGGTGGCGCTGCGTGACCGCGGAGCACTGCGCCAGCCTGCGCAAGGTGTCGGAGAACCCCCGCGACTCCTCCAAGTTTGTCATCCACCAGAGGCAGTGCCTCTCCGAGTGCCCCTCGGGGTACAAGAGGAACGAGAGCAGGTGAGGGGGCCAGCCGGCCCGCCCCACACTTTTCAAGGGCCTGAGAGCTTAGTTGTGTTCTGCCAAGTGTTGGACTGATCAGGTCACTTCAAACACTTTTGCCCCAGTTTTCACAGAGTCATAGAATTGTAGGATCAGAAGGGACCCCAAGAGTCATGTTTCCCAACCTTGTGCCTCCAGCTGTTTTTGGACTACAATTCCCATCATCCCTTGCCACTGGTCTTGCTAGTCAGGGATGATGGGAGTTGTAGTTCAAAAACAGCTGGAGGCACAAGGTTGGGAAACATAGTCCAACCCCACGCAATGCAGGAATCTCAGCTAAAGCATCCAGGACAGATGGCCATCCGACCTCTGTTTTAAAACCTCCAAGGAAGGAGAGTCCACCACTCTCGTGGGAGTCTTTTGCGCTGCTGAACAGCTCTTAATGTCAGAAAGTTTTTCCAAATATTTAGTAGGAATCTCCTTTCTTGCAACTTGAAGCCATTGGTTTGAGTTCTAACCTCCAGAGTGGGAGAAAACAAGCATGCTTCCTCCTCCAGGTGACAGCCCTTGAGGTATTTGAAGATGGCTCTCCTGTCTCCTCTCAGTCTCCTCTTTTCCAGGCTAAACCTACCCAGCTCCTTCAACCGTTCCTCAGAGACTTGTTCCTCTTGGTTGCCCTCCTCTGCACACCTTCCAGCTTGTCGACATCTTTCCTAAATTGTGGTGCCCAGAATTGGACACAGTATTCCAGGTGTGGTCTGACCAAGGCAGAATAGAGTGATATTATTACTTCCCTTGATCTGGACACTAGACTTCTTTTGTTGCAGCCTAGAATAGCATTAAGGGACGCGGGTGGCGCTGTGGGTAAAAGCCTCAGCGCCTAGGACTTGCCGATCGAAAGGTCGGCGGTTCGAATCCCCGCGGCGGGGTGCGCTCCCGTCGTTCGGTCCCAGCGCCTGCCAACCTAGCAGTTCGAAAGCACCCCCGGGTGCAAGTAGATAAATAGGGACCGCTTACTGGCGGGAAGGTAAACGGCGTTTCCGTGTGCTGCGCTGGCTCGCCAGATGCAGCTTGTCACGCTGGCCACGTGACCCGGAAGTGTCTCCGGACAGCGCTGGCCCCCGGCCTCTTAAGTGAGATGGGCGCACAACCCTAGAGTCTGTCAAGACTGGCCCGTACGGGCAGGGGTACCTTTACCTTTACCTTTTAGAATAGCATTAGCTGTTTTTGCTGCTGCATCACACTGTTGAGTCATGTGAAGCTAGGGGTACCAAGACCGCTAGATCCTTTTCACATCTGCTGCTAGTAAGCCAGGGGTTCCCCATCCTATATTTGTGTATCTGGTTCTTCTTGCCTAAGTGCAGAATCTGACATTTGTCCCTATTGAAATTCATTTCTTTAGCTTGCACCCAGTTCCCCAATCTGCTAAGGTCATTTTGAATTCTGATTCTGTCTTCTGTGGCATTAGCTACCCCTCCCAGTTTGGTGTCATCTGCAAATTTGATGAGCTTCCCCTCAATTCCTTCATTCAAGTCATTTATAAAGATGTTAAACAACAACGGGCCCAGGACAGAACCCTGCGGCACCCCACTGGTCACTTTTTTCCAGGATGATGACCAACCATTAATGAGTACTCTTGGGGTTCGGTCAATCAACGAGCTAAAAATCCACCTGACAGTTTCCTCATTCAACCCACATTTACCCCTTGCTTGTTCTTCCTCTCACTTCGGGCAAAGCTGAAGAAACCTTTTAAAATTATTTTCAACCTCTCTTGCAAGCCTGAGCTCATTCTGAGCTTTAGCCTGCCTGACCTTCTCCCTGCAACTGTTGGCTTCACATGTACACTCTTCCTTTGTGATTTCCCCTTTCTTCCATTTTGTATACATGCCCTTCTTAACTCTCAGCTCATCTGAAAGCTCCTTATGCAGCCACACCGGTTTCCGTGGGGGCCTCAATATTTCTCCTTTTAGAAACTCCCATCCTACTTGGACTCCCTTCTCATTTAGTATATCTGACCACGGGATCACACCCAGTAGCTCCTTCAGCTTTTCGAAACTGACACCTTAAAGTCCAGAATGTGTGTCTGACTACTTCCGCTGAAGCAGACTCCACCAGCTTCTGAGGGAGCCCAGTTCCACTTTCAAAGAGCTCCTGTCATCAGAAAGTTCTTCCTAATGTTGAATCAGAATCTCATTTCCCATCCATTCATCCTAAGAACAAGTGCAGGTTACCCACAAACTCACATGGCCAGGGAGAGGAAATGTGCACCGTCTGGGTCCGGCCCTGATCCTGCCGGCTGTGAGAGAATGAAAGTGTGTGAACATGAACCCAAAGTTGGTTCTTTGTGGTTGCTGTTGCTGCCCTGCTATCCATTTAAAAGACATTCCTGGGAACTGTTAGCTATTTGCGATAAAAAATATATGCCTTATGCAGATAGCTGAAGATAAATCTTTTTACTTGACAGGGGTTGGCTACAGTTGAACCACAGGTATTATTTACAGACCCCTGCAGACAGTGTCTGCCAGTCCCCTCCCTCCTCACCTTCCCAGGCAAGACAGAACTCCCAGAGAGAACCCGCCAACTCCCAACTGCCAGTTGCCAACGGCCACATCCTTTCCCCATTACCATTTCGTCTTGGTGAAATGCAGTTCCAATAATGAAATTACATTACAAATAGTAACAGGAAGTGCAGTTTGCCAAGGGGGCTGAGGGATTCTTTGGGGGGAGGTGCTGCTTCTGAGGCGCGAGGGATAGAGAGAAGCCTCTCCCTGCATTGTGGATGCGTCATCCCCAGGTCTCTCCCCCAACCCCCTTCTTTCAGCATCTTCTGCCACAAGTGTGAGGGGCTTTGCCCAAAGGAATGCAAAGTGGGCACCAAGACCATTGACTCCACAAGGGCAGCCAGGGACCTGGCTGGCTGCACCCTCATCGAGGGCAACCTCATCCTGAACATCCGCCGGGGAGGTGAGTGGCTGGCTTTGGGCCCCAGGGTGCTGGGCGCTCCAGGGAGGGAGGTCTGGCCTCTGCCCACTGAGGGACTGAATCTTTAGAGGGATGACTTGAGGGGTGAGCCTGCCATGCATTCAGATCTCCTCAGATTTAACTCGGGGGGGGGATCTATATTCTTTTCCTTTGCAGCTGAAGGACCATTTAAGGACCCTAAAGCTCAGCAATGCACCCCCACAGGGATGTGTGCTGAGTCCCTTCCTGTACTCGTATACATATGGCTGTATTTCATCTGATCCATCCACTGTAATTATTAAGTTTTCAGATGATACTACCATAATCGGTCTAATTACAGGTGGAGATGAATCAGCATACGGGGGGGGGGTTCAAAAAGTATCTACATGGTGTCTAGAGAATAACTTACACCTAAATATTAGGAAGACAAAGGAGATGGTGTTGGACTTTTCGGAGGAAGAGAGGGGAACCTGCCCCATTGTATATCGGGGTGTGTGTGTAGAGAGAGTCTCTTCCTTTAAATTCCTGGGAGTTTACCTTAGTGAAGACCTCACTTGGAAAAGCAATGTAACTCAGGTGGTTAGGAAGGCCCAACAGAGACTCGACTTCCTCAGGGTCTTGCAAAAGAACAATGTTAAACAACAATTGATGACCTTCCACAAAACAAAGTGTCCTCTCATATTGTATCACAGTGTGGTACGTTGGCTTGACAGCCACGGACGAAAGTCTCTACAGAGGGTGGTGAACACAGTGCATGATATCATGGGCTGTCCCCTGAGCCCGACAGATGACATCGCAAGGGATCGTGGCCTTAGGAGAGCGAGGAAAATTCTCAGGGACGATTCACACCCCGGCCAGCACCTCTTTAATCTTCTGCCCTCGGGCAGGAGATAAACTATAATCAGTCATGCCAACAGGCTAAAAAACAGCTTCTATCCATGGGCTGCTGAACGGAAAATAATATAGCGCAACTGACTTTCAGAGTTGGTGTGTTGTGCGACAAGCACAGAGTACAATGAGATTGAGTGTTTGTGTGGGGGGAGGGAGGCTCGGTTAATTTCATTGTATACAGGTTGTACATTGAAAATAAAGGTATTATTATTATTATTGTTATTATTATTATTATCCAAACATCCAAAATGTTTATTCGGCTTTACGCCCATCATGAAACACAACACAACAAAACAAATCAAATAAAACAGCGGACTCGTACAAACCACAAGTAGTATAACACAGTTCACAACTCACAAGGACAGATACTAGCCATTCATAAGAAAAGTTTAAGATTAAGATTAAAAAATTTTTAGGCACTACACTAAAATCAATATCTAATGTCATTATAGGAAATTCTTATAACTATCAATAATCAGCTAACATTCCGTTCCGTCTCTTGTGCGAGAGGACGGCTGTTAGGAATTTAGCAACCTGTAGGGTAATATAAGGATCCACATCTTGAAGAACCCAGGCCAGCTGTAGGTCTACTGGTTTGTCAGCCATAGGCTGGATTAGGGAGTTTAGTGTACTAGCACGGGCTGAACTGTACAAAGGGCAGATAAACATAACATGATGTAGAGATTCAGATGTTTTCATTTCAGATGTTTTATTGTTATTATTATTATTATTATTAATCATGCCAGTTAGGAAGCCACCTCCCCTTTCTTGGGACAGGTTTTTAAAAGAGTAAAAGAAATGTGTGTTGAAAGGCATAAAGTGCTTGAAGAAAGAACACAGCACAGCACCAGGCAATCATTTCAAACATGCAAAAGCCTAGAAGCTGCTTCTCCCTTCCTACAGATAACCTGGCCTCCGCCCTGCAGGGCAGCCTGGGCCTGATTGAGACCATCACAGGCTTCCTGAAGATCAAGCACTCCTTTGCCCTCATCTCTTTGTCCTTCTTCAAGAACCTCAAGCTCATCCGAGGGGACTCCATGGTGGACGGGTGAGTCATGGGCAAGGGCACGGCTCCCCCCCCCCAGCAGGGCGGGCTGTAAAACACCCTCCTCCGTCTCGCCTCCAGGAACTACACGCTCTACGTGCTGGACAACCAGAACCTCCAGCAGCTCTGGGACTGGAGCCACCACAGCCTCTCCATCCCCGTCGGCAAGATGTACTTTGCCTTCAACCCCAGACTCTGCCTGTCAGAGATTTACCGCATGGAGGAGATCACAGGGACAAAGGGCAGACAAAACAAAGCAGAGATCAATCCCCGGACCAATGGCGACCGAGCCTCCTGTGAGTTGCTCTGGGGGGCAGAGGGCTTGGGGGGCACAGCATCGAGGGACCCTGGTGGGCACCTCGTAGGCAGAAATGAGGGTAGCAGTGGCAATCGGAGATGGAGAGGGGGGTTGCCCCACAAGGAAGTTGGGGTGCCTTCCCAAACTGGTGCCCCCAGCTGTTGTTCCTCTTGTCCCCCAGCCGCTCCAACAGCCAGTACAGCCAAGGCTCAGGGGTGATGATGAGGTGAACTTGAGTCTAGCAACATGGGGGGCGGGGGGGCGGGACCAAGTTGGAGAAAGGCTGGACTTGTGGGGTGGTTGGTCCTTTTGGCTTCACTGCTTAAAACTGGCCACTACCAGAGCTCATGGAGCCCGGCTTTTTCGTTCATTGGTCTGTCTCCCATTTCAGAGGGGCAGCAGACCTGTTCATCTGCTACATCAAAAAGGCAAGAGACCTTCAAACTGTTAAATCTTTAGGGTGCCGCAGTCGAACTGTAACCCCAATAGCAGCAGCAGCTGTCATCCCAACCCCTCCCCCGACCCACTTTTATTCCAGGTCTTTTCTCCCAGAACATTTTCAGTGAAAACAGGGTTTGGGATTTTTGTCATTTGCACAGCTAGAAATGAAAGAGACATTTTGACCTTTGCCCATGAAATTTTCCAGCTCTTTGCCAGCTCCACTGTTGCTCCCTGAAGCCACTTGTGTTCCTCCCCCACTCCTTGCCCCTGCTAGTTTTCAAGACTCCTTCCAGGTTTTAAACCCCCCCCCCCAATATTTCAGGCAAGACCCAAATCCTGCGCTTTGTGTCCAACACCACTGAGTCAGATCGCATCTTCCTCAAGTGGGAGCGCTACCGGCCCCCAGAGTACCACGACCGCCTGAGCTTCATCATCTACTACAAGGAATCGTAAGTCCTTGGGGAGCCTCAGGGGTGTGTGTGTGTGGGGGGGGGGGAATTTGCTCTTTTCTGCTGCTGCTGCTGCTGCTGCAGGGGACACCCAGCACACCTGAAGGGGAAGACACCAAATCCGCCCCTTCTGGAACCGTATGCAAGCCAAGACCCAGCTGTCCTTCATGACTCTCTGAAGTTTGCAGTGCAACTTGAATGTGTTCTGAAAAGCACAGGCTTGGAGGGTACAAATAAATATATTATTGAAAAGACCAAAGGAAATGCCTTATATTGGGAACCTTGCTTTGCAAGAATGTGTGTATTAGGAGAACCTTTTTAAAAATATATATCCACAAACTGATGTGGAAATGTGGAGAACTGAACTGAAGGTGGGGAAAGTGAGAAACTGAAACGGACCTCTTTGCGCATCCTTCTTGGTCTGCCAAGTGCGCGGCAGTTGGAGAGCCAGTGGAGGTGGCAGGAGGGGAGCCAAGCTGCCTCCCTCCCGGCTGCTCCTGCAGGCCTGACCCTCCCTTGGGTGCCTCATCCCCCAGGCCCTTCCAGAACGTGACGGAATACATTGGGCAGGATGCCTGCGGTGCCAACAGCTGGAACGTGGTGGACGTGGAGCCGCCCCTGAACAACGAGCAGGAGCCGGGGGTGGTGCTTCAGAGCCTCAAGCCCTGGACCCAGTATGCCATCTTTGTGCGCGCCATCACCCTCACCACCGCTGAGGAGAGGCGCAACTACGGGGCTCAGAGCGAGGTGGTTTACATCCGTACCATGCCTGCAGGTAACACTGGCGGGCAGGCGGGAGGAGCAGGAGCCTGTGACCAGTGTCATCCACCCCTGGGTGCCAGAGCTGCTCCTTGGACGGGACCGGGCTCTGAGTAGAGTTGCTGGGATGCCGTGGGGGTTCTGGGCCTGCAGCAGAGGGACCTTGAAAGGAGCTCTCCCTTCTGTGGAGGCAGAAGAGGCCTAGCATGAGATGGAGGGCTGCACTGCGGCCAACTTAACACTTTAAAGATGGCTGAGATTAGGTTAGACTGAGAGATGCAGTGACTGGCCCAGGGCCACCCAGAAAGCTTCATAGCTGAATGGGGACTTAAACCCTGGTCTCTCTCAGGTTGTAGCCTGACACTCTAGCTGCCACAACACACTGGCTCTGTATATTGGGTCTCTCTCTCCCTCTTTTTTTCTCTCTCTTTCAATCACACTGTCTGCCCTCCTGTCGATGTCCAGCTCCAACAGTTCCCCGGGATGTCATCTCCATGTCCAACTCCTCGTCCCACCTCATTGTCCGCTGGAAGCCACCCAGCCAGCCCAACGGCAACATCACCTACTACTTGGTCTTGTGGCAGCAGCTGGCGGAGGACTCTGAGCTGTTTGTCAATGACTATTGCCACAAAGGTGAGGTGGCTGGCCTGCTCCGTGGCGCATGGACCTTGCGCAGCCCCCAAAGGGCCTTTGCTCACACCCTCTCTCCTCTCACCCTGCCAGGCCTCCGCCTGCCCACCAGCAGCGCAGACACTCGCTTTGACACAGACGATGGCGAAGGCCAGGAGGACGGAGAGGAGCAGCAGTGCTGCCCGTGTCAAAGCCCTGTGGGGCAAACCCCCCTGAGGGATGAAACCGTCTCTTTCCAGAAGAAGTTTGAAAACTTCCTGCATAATTCCATCATCATCCCCAGGTGACCGGGGCTAGAGCTGCGCAGGCCAGGCTGTGGGGTGTGGGATTGTGACTCCATGGGCGGGCGGGCGGGCGGAAGTCAGGGCTGACAGCAGCAATGGTCAGTTGGCGGGAGAGCCTGTCAGAACTGGTGGTGGTTCTCTCTGCCGTCTTGGCACTCCAAACCTTCCACTGACTCCCAGCTCTCCTTCCCCAACTGGAGAGCAGGCATCTTGAGCCTGAAAATGTTAGGCAGGAATGGCACTGTCAACTGTTTGCAAGCCCAGCAACCCCCCCCCCCCCAAACTGGGGCTCTGGAGAATCCCGAGCCTTATTTCCACAAGTGTCCTGCAGCGCTAGTCTGAAAAAGTTTGAAAAGACTGGCATGAGTTGACTTATTCTAGGTCAGGGTGGTTTTACCTATCTCTCCTGGTAATGTCTACTCTGACTGGCAGCAACAGCAGCTCTCCAATATTGTCTGAGGCGGAAATGGAGGTGGGCAGTCCCCTCCCCAGTGACATGCAACCTCAGCCTTCTCCAACCTGGATGTTTTGGGCCACCAACTCTCACCTGCTCCCACCACTGTGGCTGCACCCTCATCAGCTGAAATATTCACTAAAGGAAGAGGAGAAGGCTGGAGCCAGGGGGTAGTAAGCAGAGATTTTCACCTTCTTTGTCTTTTTTCAGACCCCCCTGGAAAGTCACTTCCATCAACAAGATCTCTTACAGGTAAGCTGCAGAGTGTAGCCGAAAATGAAAAGGAATGTTCACACATTTTCAGGCTTTTCCTGAGGACTAGAAACATTTCTTTAAAGGGATGCCTCAAGTTTGCCCCACCATCTGGAGGCTCTCTCCAAATGCACAGACAGTGGAGACAATCAGGTTGCAATATTGGGCTGCAGAGAACGGACCCCTTTTAGGAAAAAAAGGGGGTCTCTTCTCCTCTCCCCCACCCCTGCAGGACCAGAAGTTTCCCTTCTTCCTATTGCCTGCCTTTGCCTACCAAGCCCCAGGCACTCAAACATCCCCACACTCTTAACTGTTGGGGGGATCCTGGGGAAATCAGTATCACGGGCAGAAGGACTGTGGAAACTCCTGTCCAGCTTTCTATTGTAATATGTTTGGGGGCTGGACTGAGTTTGGACCCTAACCCGACTGTGTCTGGTTTGTCCTCCATGGACTAAGGGCTGGGCATGACACTTGTTGTCCACCTTGAGGTGTAGGGCAAACAGCATCTTCCAGCAGACAGGCCTGCCCTACCCCACACTCTGCCCCAAGGCCTCACCGCTCTGCTTCCTTTGCTGTGACAGGATCCCAAAGAGGCGCAGGGACACCTTTGCCGTAACCCCTCTTCCTGGCCACGCCTTTGCCAACACATCGTCCCCAGAGGTCCTGGGAAATGGAGTGACCCCAAACCGCACAGAGTCCAGCAGCTCCAAAACTGAGAAGGATTTCCGCATCTTTGAGGATAAAGTGGTCCGGGATCGGACGGCCATCTCTAACCTGCGGCATTTTACTGAGTATCGCATCGACATCCACGCCTGCAACCACGCTGCGCAGACTGTGGGCTGCAGCGCTGCCACCTTTGTCTTTGCCAGAACCATGCCAGAACGTAAGTGCCAGAGAGCCCCTCCAGCAAGCCACGTGGGGGGGGGCATCAGCCCTGGGCAGGAGCAGAGAGCTCAGCTGCCCCTTTATGCCTGTCTGCCCTGCTTTGCCTCACGGTAAGGCCAGCCCTGGTCCTACCTCTTTGTACAACTCCCGTCCCCATCGCTAGCTGGTAAGTAGCCTGTGCAGTCCATCGTCTGAATCAACTGGCTCTTCCCTACTGGAATGATCGGGGCGGCCTGTCTCAATTCATCACCTGCAGTGAAATGGGAAGATGTCGCCCAGTGCATCTGCCCCCCCCCCACTTGCTGCCCCTGCGGTGCCTCAATTACTGGAGTTGTGGGGCTGTGGCTTCCGGGTTCTGACGAGATCATGCAGAGGCCACACACCAGCTTCCCAAGACTTCATTCAGCAAGACACTCCATCTTACTTTCTGAGGTCTCAGGAATGTTGCGCAGGGCTCTCATGAGATCTTGCTGGAACTTGGAAGCTGCTGCAACCGCTTCTCTGGTGGTGGCGGTGGCAGGGGCTCGTTTCTGGAGTCACCCTTTGGAGTCTGCCTCATGGGTGGTCCGGCTCTGGGAATGATGCAAATGTGGTCCAGGAATAAGCATTTTGCACAAGGTGTCCCATGAGCTATGAAGAGCTCTGTGCTCCTTCTCGCCCTGCCTGGGCAAGGGGTGGAAGGAAGGGAGAGTGCGATGGGCTTCCGTCAGCCGTACTAAACCCCACACCTGACTCCACTTGAAGCCGACTTGTTCCTTTGCTTTGCTCTCTCTGCTCAGCTCTAGCAGACAACATCCCTGGCAACGTGACCTGGGAGCCAGCAGGGAAAAACCGAGTCCTCCTCAAGTGGGAGGAGCCGAAGAACCCCAACGGGCTCATCCTCAAGTACGAGATCAAGTACAGCCGGGAGAGTGAGGTGAGGAAGGGGCTGGAGGCCTAGTGGTGGCAGCAGGGCTAAGCGCTGGAACATTTATTAGCAGCAGGAGACGGAAGGTTTGGAGATTCAGGACAAGCAGGAGGGAGGAATTTGCTGCCGCACAAGGTAGTGATGGTGACTGACTTCAAAGAGGGATTAGAGCTGTTAATGGAGGATAAGACTCTGTAATGTTACTAGTAGTCATGATGGATCAGAGGCAGTGTGCTCAGCAACACCAGCAGTGGGGAGAGATCCCTTCAGAGCATCTGGTTGGTGACTGTGAGAAGAAGCAGGATGCTGGAGTAGTTGGTCCCCCTTTGGCCTGATCCAGCAGCAGTAGCATCCTGGCTCTGGTTAACCCTGCCACTTGCAGCCACTACCCTGCCCCCCCCCAGCCTGGGGTTTCAAACTTCCCCACCTCCAAGAGTGATCCACAGGCCCCTGAGGCACCACTCACGCCTCTCTCCTCCTCGGTTTCCTTCTTCCTCTCCTGCAGAAAGTCACCTCGGTTGTCTGCGTCTCTCGCCACCGCTACACTCGGAACGGGGGCTACCTCCTCGACCTCCTCCAGCCTGGAAATTACTCTGCCAAGGTCCGGGCCACTTCACTGTCAGGGAACGGCTCGTGGACCGGACTGATCAAGTTTTATATCCTGGGGCCGGGTAGGTGGTGGAGGGTGAGCGTAGGCAGGGCAAGCAGAAGAGAGAAGGAAGAGGAGGGTTGACTTGGACTAAGCAACCCTGGCAGTTCAGGGAGGTTCATCTGGTGACACAATGGAGAAACCCTGTGATGATGCCGGAGGGGGGGGGCAGCGGGAGGCAGGGCAAGCAAGGACGCCTGGAACAGTTTGTATCTCTGGTTTAACTTCTCATGAAAATGTGGCCCCAGATGCTGGCAGGTGGGATGTTCTGGGGAACTCCAGAAAAAAAGTTTTCCTTTAGGCCACTTTCAGAGCAACCTTGGGGGCTAATGGTGAAAGAGATCCCTTCGGGGCAAAGAGGAGAAGCACACAGCTGCTTGGATGAATGAAAACAGGGGAGGGGAACCTGCTGCTGTTCCTGGGCTCCAGCCCCAGGAGACAGCAGGACCAGCTGCCTGGAAACCTGGTAGGAGCTGTAGTCCAGCCCTCACCCCCTTCCATAAATAGATGGTGGCTTTGTGGGCCTTGGTGACAAAAGGAGACTAAACAGCCCCCAAAGTGAGCATCACCCAGGAACCTAGCCTGGCACTCTATGTGGGGCTACGTAGAGTGACCCGGAAACTGCAATTAATCCAGAAGGCGGCAGCTAGACTGGTGACTGGGAGCAGCTGCTGGGACCATAAAACACCAATCCTGAAAGACCTACATTGGCTCCCAGTACGTTTCCAAGCACAATTCAAAGTGTTGGTGCTGACCTTGAAAGCCCCACATGGCCTTGGCCCAGTAGACCTGAAGGAGCATCTCCATCCCCATCACTCAGCCAGACACTGAGGTCCAGATCCGAGGGCCTTCTGGCGGTTCCCTCCCTGCGAGAAGATTACAGGGAACCAGGCAGAGGGCCTTCTTGGTGATGGCTCCCACCCTGTGGAACACCCTCCCATAATAAACAATTATCCGACTTTTAAAAGACATCTGAAGGCAGCCCTGTTTAGGGAAGTTTTCAATGTTTGATCTTTTATTGCTTTATTATTATTATTATTATTATTATTATTATTATTATTATTATTATTGGAGCTGCCCAGAGTGGCTGGGGAAACCCAGCCAGATGAGCGGGGTATAAATAATAAATTATTATTATTGCTATTATTAAGATTTTAACACTTGCTAGATCCAGGGATTAGAGTAGTCTGGCTCCCACAAACTCACAATAATACATAATTTTATTTGTATGCTGCCTTTCCATAGTTCAAACCATGCTCGAGGTGGCTTACAACATGAAAAAATACAGTATTACAGAAATAATCACCAACAATAAATAAAACATTAAAAAATACAGAATCAAATTGGACAATTTCCACATAAATCATAATAAAATCTAAAATAAAGATTTAAAAAATCAGTAACAACCCCTTTTAACACCCCTAGTCCAAGTGTCTAGAGATTAATAGATAGAAAAGGGAGCAACTGCTTCAGTAATTAAGTCTCCAGTAATCAAGGCTGCCTTTGTGCAGAAAGTGATGTGGTCTCTCTGCCTCTAGGAGCACAGAAGGGAGGATGTTTATGGGGACAACATTTCTATTCCTCAGAGGCTTGTCCCATCCACTTAATTGGGGAGCCCAAATGATGGCCAGCAGTTGTACCAAAATGCTGTGGGTCATTTGGTGCGTAAATTTAGAATCCTTTTTTATCACGTGGTGCCAAATGTTAGGAAAGCAGACAAAATACGTATTGTCCCAGACCAGCAAATGGAATTCAGAGCAGCCGTTGAGTGGGGTGTGTGTGTGAGAGTTGTGTACATGTCGTTTCTAAGAGCCTGAAATGGCCCAGGAGTCCCCCTTAGGATATTAAAACCACACAAACCAACCCAGTTGGGGCAAGTTGTTTGATCAATGTTAACTAGTTGTGTAATAATTACGTGTTTCTTTCTCTGCCCCCCCCCCCACTTACACCCACCATTAACCCTTACAAGTAGAGGAAGAGGAACCCGGGAACTTCTATGTGCTCTTGACGCTGATGCCCGTTGTCTTGATGGTGGGGATCACTTGTCTGGCCGTCTTTGTTTTCTTATACAACAAGAAAAGGTAATATGGAACCGGCAGGACACTGGCGCTGTTAGAGGTGTCCCCCCCCCCCCGCAACACGGAGTGGAGAATCTGTGGCCCTCCAGATTTTATGGGTCTCCACCCCCCAAGAGCCAGCCTGGCTGATGGTCAGTGTGTGTCCCTTCCAGAGCATTCTCTGGGGAAGGGTCGGCTCACACTTTCTACTGGCAGAGAAGTGTTGATTTAGCTTGACATGGACCAGGTCAGCAATGAGGTTGGACCAAAATCCCACAGGAGGGTCCTAAGGGGGAGGGGAACTCACCGCCACTGTGGTCCCTGCCATGCAAAGGACCTTGAGCCCTTTGTCTCTCCCTCCCAGAAGCACAGAGGGATATCCCAGTGGCACGCTGTACGCCTCAGTCAACCCTGAATACTTCAGCACCTCAAACAGTGAGTACGGCTCACCTTTCGAAGGCAGAGGCAGAGGCGGGCAGGACGCCATTTTCACAGGGGACCCTCGGCCTGTCAGGCCAGAGGTGGAGCATTGCTATGGAACTGACTGATGCTGCTGCTGGTGCCCTAAGCCTCCCCTGTCCCCAGCCGGGGCATCCCTGACACCCTGGGACTGACGGGAGTTTTGGTCCAGCTCTTTTAGAGGGCAGCAGGTTGGGGAAGCAGCAGCTGTGCCCCCCCCCACTCAGTGTTGCAGCGGGGCTTGTGCAGGACTCCCCACCTGATTCTACCCTTGGCCTTGCCACTCCGCCACCTTCCAGGCCCCCCAGCCTTGCCTCCGGGGGGCATATGTGTGTGCCCCACACCGAGCGCTCTGTGCTTTTCCTTCGGTGCCTCTCCTTGGCTAGTGTACGTCCCGGACGAGTGGGAGGTGCCGCGGGAGAAGATAACGGTGCTGCGGGAGCTGGGCCAGGGCTCCTTTGGGATGGTCTACGAAGGGCTTGCCAAGGACATTGAGCAGGAGGGAGAGAAGACCAGGGTGGCCCTGAAGACGGTCAACGAGCTGGCCACCACGCGGGAGCGCATCGAGTTCCTGAATGAGGCCTCCGTCATGAAAGCCTTCAGGTGCCACCACGTGGTAAGTGGGCCGGCCCTCCCCTTGGACAGCTGAGTTTCGGCATCAGGAAAAGCAGCATATGGTACCAGAGCTGCTATTGTTGTGCTTTGTTCTCCCAGGGGGAGACACTTGTGGGACATTCTGCCTCGGGGGCCAAAATAACTTGATCAGCCTCGGGGATTATGCAACTTGATCTGTGGGTTGGTGGGCAGCCCTGCCTGGATTCCCAGAGAGGAACAGAGAGGCTAGATTTCAGCTTCCATGTGGTTAGATGACATGGGGTGTGCCAAAGTTGGTGTTTGGATGACCAATTGCAGCAATGCAAAGAGGGAGAGTCGTTGGGTCGGAGGTGATCCGCCAGGTGCTCATCCTGCCCCATTCAACTCCGCAGTGTGGGAATGCTAATACTGGCCTACTCTGTGGGGGTGGCGTTAGGGTTACTGGACCCCCCTCCTGTGTGTGCGCTGAGCACTTTGAGAGCGTCCTCTACATGCCAGCGGGCCTCTTTTATCTCTGCTGGCTCTCAGGTCCGTCTTCTTGGCGTAGTCTCCCAGGGCCAGCCTGCCTTGGTCATCATGGAGCTGATGACGAGGGGGGACCTGAAAAGCTACCTCCGTTCCCTCAGGCCGGAAGCTGAGGTGAGTGACTTGCAGAGCCTCCCCCAGGCTTCCCTCCAGGGCTCAAGCAAAGCAGCCTGCTTGGGTGGAGAAGCAGTTGCACCTGTTTGCAGCAGAGCAACATGTCGCCAATCCAGTCCAAAGCCAGAGGGGGGGGGGTTGCCCACATTACGCCATGGGAAGCTGGGCTTTCATTTGTGCTGAAGTTCCATTGCTCAGGGCACTGAGGGAGTTCATAAACTCCTTTCCCATCTTGGAGGGTGGCGTCCAGTCTGGGGTCTCCTTGCCTGCCGGCTTTTGCCAGCTTCGAATAGTAGCTGGGAGACAAAACCAAAGTATGGAGACAGACTGAGCGCATGGCATTCTCCGGGAGTGGCTGAGGAAATTTTCCCAGAGAAGTCTGGTTGGTCTCTTCCCCCCTGCCCTGGGACAGGCTATTTTGTGGTTCTTTCTCTCTAGAATAACCCTGGCTTGCCTCCCCCGTCGCTGAGGGACATGATCCAGATGGCTGGCGAGATCGCGGATGGCATGGCCTACCTGAACGCCAAGAAGTTTGTCCACCGGGATCTTGCTGCCCGCAACTGCATGGTGTCAGAGGACTTCACTGTGAAGATTGGGGGTGAGGCCAGGTTGGGGTTCAGGGGTGCTATCATTGCCATTCCCTACGAGTAGAGGTGGTTGTGGTTGAGGCTCGGATGCCCAGGGGGGCAGCAGTGTTTGTTTGCTGCAGCAGCAACAACCCCCTCCCCCATTTCTGGTGGCCCCGGCCTCCCTGGACCAGACCTCCTGTTGCCCCGAGAGGGCTCCCTGCAGCTCCGACGGCTGCCTGTCTCCCTCCCTGCCAAATTCTCTTCATCTTGGTTCCCCTCAAAAGATTTCGGCATGACCAGGGACATCTATGAGACGGACTATTACCGCAAAGGGGGGAAAGGTCTGCTGCCTGTCCGCTGGATGTCCCCGGAAGCCCTGAAGGACGGCCTCTTCAACACACACTCGGACATCTGGTGGGTGCTTGGGAGAGGAAGGGGCAGGCTTGTCCTCCAGAGCAGCAGGGGGGGGGGCGGCAGGTTTCCAGTCCCAGGGAGTTCTGGCACACCTTTGTTCACCTTTGTTCACCCTTCCATGGTATTTTCACTCGAGGATAATCTGGGACTGGAAGCAGGTACTTTCAAGGATGTGTGGGACGGAGGCTGAGGGTGGCCGGTGTGGCTGCTGCTCACGTCTTCTTTGCTGGTCTTTGTGGGGCAGAGGGAGGAGGCGGAGGCCCTGCACTTGAGCAACATCTTGGTTTGGACCCTCGTGGGGGGGGGGCCTGTCTGCTCCCTCCCACCGTGAACCTTGCGAAGAGCAGCTGTGCCCAATGGCTGCCCTGGGCGCCTCTCCTCGCCTGTGGCAAGAGGCAAGGAGGAAGAGACTGACTCTTCTCTTGCAGGTCCTTTGGGGTGGTGCTGTGGGAAATTGCGACGCTGGCTGAGCAGCCCTACCAGGGCATGTCCAACGAGCAGGTCCTGCACTTCGTGATGGACAACGGCGTCCTGGAGAAGCCAGAGAACTGCCCCCAGAAGCTGTAAGCGCCCCAGCAGTATCTGTCTGTCAGTCCATCAAGGTAGCATCTGGGCTGTGCAAAGGCAGATGCGCCTCCCTCCCCCTCCCCTCCCCTCGGGCCCCTTGCTGGCAGTCTTTGGGCTGTGCGTGGCCTGTGGGGGCCTCCCCATCTGGGCCCCCACAGCAAGGCGGCTTGAAACACTCCTCCTCTTGGGAGCCAGCAGCAGGCTGGTGTCAAGGCTGCCTTGTGGAGCCTCTGGGGTGGGGGTGGTGCAGTAGTGGAGGGGAAAGTGACCCCCTGCCCTTCTCACTCTCCACCCCCCTCCTGCCCTTGTGGATCTTCCAGCCACGAGCTGATGACCTGGTGCTGGCAGCAGAACCCCCGCCTGCGCCCCACCTTCGCCCAGATCCTGGAGAGCATCAAGGACGACATGAGCACCGACTTCCGCACCCACTCCTTCTTCTACAGCCTGGAGAACAAATGCTGCAGCTCCTGGGAGGCTTCGGACACAGAGACGGAGCAGCTACTTCTGAGTGGGGAGGAGGAGGAGGAAGCAGCACCTGAGCCGGCCCCCCCTCAGGGCGCCCCCATCCTCAACGGCAGCCCACTCCTCGCTCTGGGCCTTGGCAGGGACCCCTTGCAGAGCCAGCCTACAAACTGCTGCCAACCCAATGGGAAGGTGGGCCTCTGAAGAAGGGCACCACCCTGGGGCCCACCTCACAGGAGACACACCCCCCCTGCCCTCTTTGGGACCTGCTGAAAAGCCAGGATGCTTCTGGGCTGCCTACCATGGCGGCTGGAGCGGAGAAAGGACTCCTTCCAGGAGGAGGACCACCTGGTGACACTCCCTCAGGGTGACAGGATGGAGTCTCTTTTTAGGAGAAGATGACTTGGCTGGGCGCTCCTTTTCTTCCTGAGGGCCTTGGCTCGTTCTGGCCGCCTGCAGGTTGCCTTGCAGGCATTTCTCCCTTCAGCCACTTTGGGCAGGGGGGTGCTGTGGGCAGCCTCCTCCCTGCCCCCCATCACGTGGGCTGTGGCTTCGTGGGGAGCATTTGCAATCCTTCGGCTGGGGGCGAACTGGCTCTCCTCAGCGGCCCAGGAGCAAAGATACACTTATGTTCTGTGTGGCAGCCTTGCCCAGGGATTTCACGCTCCTTTGTGGGACTGGTGCACAAGTGAACTCCTGGGCCATGGGGCTAAAAGGTGCAGCCAGCGCCTGTGAAGGAGGCTGAAGGCCAAATGGACTGGCTGAAGAGCTCCCTGGCTTTGGGAAGGTCGAAGGACGGGCAGACTTTCCCACAGCCCATTCCTGCCTCTGGGTGTGTGTTGGGGATGAGGGGCCACAAATGTGTTCATCCCCACAGCCACTCCAGAGGAGTTACCTTCTTTCCTTTATACCTCACCTCTCTTCCAGAATGGCACCCAGACTGGCATACTTCTTTTTTTAATAAATAGAAGAGTAACTAACTGCCTTGAGAGAGGCTTCCTGGGAAGTCTCCCGTCCAGTGTGGCCTTACTTTGCCAAGTCCCAGATTCTGGCCCGGCAGCCGGGGCCTCCTCCCCACTGCACTTTCCCAGCTGCTGCAAGGATCTCTTCAGACCAAGTGGCCACTTCAGTCCTAACGCCTGCTCCTTGTCACAGAGGAGATTCTGCAGTTTCACTGGCCTCCCCAGATGTGGACTAGAAGCACTGGGAGGTCAGTATTTTGCTCAGGGGTCCAGGTGAGGGCACTCCCGGATGGGGGGGATCCTCTCTCCATGCAACCATTTGTGCTGCTTTGGATTCTGTGCTGGAAGAAAAGTCGGGTATAAACATAAGAGCCCCATCTCTGGGGCTGGCTGTGGGTGGGCTGCTCCTCCTCTCCCCCATTACTGCAAAGGTGCTTTTGTTGTTGCTGGATGTGATCGGCTGCTTCCACAAAGTGAAGTGCAAGCCCTTGAACTCTGAATAAACCAGTTTGTTTTCCTGTAGAGATGTCCAGGTGAGCCCGATGGGCGCCTCTTTTATCAGCATTGCAAGAGGCAGCTCTGCTAAAACTTGATTACAGCGTGAAGAACTGAAACCAACCTCCCTCCCATAGGAATTAAGTTTCTAATGGGACCAGATGGTTTTATAATTAGCCCAACGGCAGCGGTGTGCGTTAAGAGGGTGTCGCCGCGGTGAGAGGGGCTATTCCTCTGCATCAGCTGCTGGCTCCATGAAGATTTTTCCCTCACACGGACACACACAAAAACACGTGTGTGATATAAGTGCATCTGCTCCAGCTCTGGGCGTCCCCACTGTGCTCATGTGGCGCCTCTAAGGTTCATAAAGGAATGTGGGCTTTTGACTGGAAAAGGTGCCCTGCTTCCCTGGCGCATTGATCTTTGAAGACTTTTCAAGAGTTTCTGACAGTGCAAAACTTGGCTTACAGAGTGTATGTGACCCCTTTGTACATGGATTTACAGACTCCTGCAAGGAAGTCAGGCTGATGAGTTCTGCTGGCTCATCCTCAGTTAAGCCTTTTACTGTTGCAAAATAAGCAAGACTGAAACTGCCTGCTTGGCCCTTCCAGGAGACAGTTTTGGGAAGGCGGATTGCAAGCTGTGCTTGGGGAAAGGGATTCTTGAAACAAAGGGTCGTCCTTGTTGCACCTTGTAATCCAGAGCAATGACAGTGCAAACACGCAGGAGGCCTCAAGAAGGGGGCTGCTATAAAATGCAGGCGGGGGGGGGGGGGAGAGAATTCCTTTGAACATAGGAGTTCACTGAGATGAAGAACTTTCTAATGGCAAGAGCTTTTGACAGTGGAACGGACTCCCTCAGAAAGTGGCGGCTCTCCTTCCTTGGAGGTTTTAAAGAGAGGTTGGATGGCCACCTGGCTGGGATGCATTGCAGGGGGTTGGACTAGATGACCCCCTGGGGTCCCTTCCAACTCTGTAGTTCTATGATTCTAATGAAGGTGATCTCTGTACATGGTGCAACCCCCTGTTGGCCTATAAGGTGCTCTCCCCCTGCCCCACTTTGCTTTCTTTCATGGGACTGAAGTGGCTAGTCTCTGTCGAAGTTGGGGGCGGGGAAGAGACAGAGAGATCTGCCCCCACCCGAGAAGTGCTGGAAAGGAGCCAAGCAGCCGTCCCCTTGAAGCTGGGCCTCTGCTGGCGGCTGCCTTGGGAAATGATCCCAGCTAGTCCAAATGCCAGCCCAGGAGACTGGGCACAGTGGTTCCTCCAGTGGCGCTGGGGCCAAGATCTGCCACGTCCTGCCCCCATGGCAGCTGCGAAGAAGCCTGGTGCCCGGAGGGATGAAGGTCCTGCTGCTGCTGAGCCGGTTGGAACTCAGTCCTTCCCTGAGAAGGCGGGGGGGGCAGGGGGCTCTGGCCTCCTCACCGGTCCTGCCTGCGGAGGGGGGGCGATGGCGGGTAGTGCCTGACGGGGGGCACGTCGTAGTGGGCAGGGATGTGGCTGTTCTTGGGGGAGTCGTAGTGGTTGGGGGGAATGGCAGAGGCTGCGTGTGAAGAGGTGCCACCTGCGCCAGCCGAGCAGCTGCCTGGAAGGGGAAGAAGGAGGTCAGCGTTTCCACGGGACACAGAGGGGGGGCGCAAAGTGAGGGCACGGGGAACCTCGGCCCAGTTGCAAAAATGGAAATGTTGAGGAACGGAGGAAGCTGCCATCTGCTGAATCAGACCAACAGCCCATCTCAGGCTCGTCTACACTGACTGGCAGCCGCAGCTCTCCAGGAGTCCAGGCAGGGAGTCCCTCTCTGCCTGGCACTGAGCTGCATCCCTTGCCACCAAGCAGGAAGGGAAAGGAGAGCCATAAAACACCCCCCCATACCTCCTGCCTCCTCCTCTTCCTCCTCCTCCTCCTCCTGCAGGCTCTGGGCAGCCTCCTCAAAGAGGCCGATCTCGGCGTAGGACATTTCGCGCTTGACGGGGGACTTCATCTCCATGTAGCTTCCCTCCGAGGGCTTCCCTGTGAGGACGGGCAGGTCCTTGATGGTGGCATAGGGGTTCTCGCTGCTCAGGGAACTGTCGCTCCGTCGGTACAAGGTCTCCTCCTTGGCGTAGCCTGGAAGGGGAGGAGGGCTGAGGGGTCAGGGAGGGGCTTTGAGCAGTATCACGGCCCCCGGAAGGGCAGCTGCAGACCCCGCCCTGGACTTGGTGGCACCAGGCAGAAGTTGAGGACAGAAAGGGCTCACCAGAATGATCCAGGGTTGAAGCGACCCCCCTGTGAAGGAAGCTTGCAGTATTTGGGGCTTTTCAGTTTAGAGAAAGGAGGAGGAGGAGGAGAGATGATTGGAGTGCATAAAATGATGCATGGTGTGGCAAAGTGGGCAGAGAAAAGTTTTTCTCTCTGATAACACCAGAACTTTTGGATGTCCCAAGGAAGCCGATTTTTGGAGGATCCAGGACAGATAAGAGAGTTTCCTCATGCTGGGCATAGTTAATCAGTGGAACTCCCTCCCACAGGAGGAGGGGAGGACCACCAACCTGGATGGAGGAGAAGACAAATTCGTGGAGGAGGAGAGGCCTATCAGTGGCTGCTCTCCAGGACGGCTATGCTGTGCCCTCCACAGGCAGGCAATGCTCTTACCTTTGCTGTAATACCTTCCAAGTCCGTTAGTGTAGCTGTAGCTGCGGTCCATCTGGGGGCCTCCTGCAGAAAAGGAAACGGAGTCCAGGAGGGGGAGGGATTCTGTTGGGTGAAGCTCACTGGGTCTGAGCCCCAGAACCTATCAGTGGGGTTCAGACCTGGCACAGCACATGTGGAGGAGAGGACACCCTGACCAGCTGATGGTGGAAACAGACTCATGTGAAGCCTCACAGCGACACCTGCTGCCATTTGGGGTCCATCAAGTTGCTGAAGGTGGTTCTGGAACATTCCTTGCTCCCTCATTTCCAGGGAGGCCTCCAGGTTTGCAGGAAAGACAAAACCCCTCAGGGAGAAATGTGTGCTGGGGTGGCTGCCCTTTGGGGAAGGGTCTCTACAGGAGCGGCAATGGGGACAAGCGTAGGGCGCTCTGAGAAAAGGTGGCCGTGTTCCTGAGTGACGGCCACAGATGGGTCTCTTTGCCTGCGCCCAGGACTCGTGGTGGAGGAGGAGGGAGATGCCACAGCCTTACCTGGCTCCGCTGGAGTGGCCCTGTGGTGCTTCCAGTCAGCGGGCAGCGTGGCGTTGCAGTCGGCCCCACACACTCCCGGCCAGTCTCGCTCTAGGCTCTTTGTACTGCTGATCAGCTGGGGAGGGAGAAGAAAACAGGCAGTCACCCTGGCGCCAGACTGCGTGGGACCCTAACTCAAACAATTAAGATTCTTTATCCAAGACATCTGTGAAGGCTAGGGGTGGAATGGGCAAGGGCCTGGCAGATGAAAGTCCTGCCTTGGGGTGGGGCTTGTTATGGGGCTCCCTTTCCGGTCCATGTTTAAGCACGTGGCTTCTGCGCTCCAGGCACGTCTCCCTGTTTAAAACCCATCCTGGAAAGTGTCTGTCTTTATTACTGACCACAGCCAAGTGGGGCTCAGCAACATGGAACTGTCCAATGCCAGCTGCGGTTTGCAAGTGACCAAAATTGTGCCCTGCAGAAGCCACACTCGGCACCACAACTGGCTCCTTCCAGGGGTGCAAATCAGAAGAAGCCAAACATTACAGCTACTTGGGTTTTGGTTTCCACACAGGTGCCCAGACTGGTGAGCGGACTTTTTGTGCAGTAAAAAAGGAGGAAAGTGACGCTGCCACCACTTTGGAAGTTCTGCCTCCTGCAGCAAAGAGCCCGATCCCTGCGCACCTCTCAGAAATGGGAGAGGAAATGTCCCTTTAGACATGCGTTTCTTTATTTTCCAACTCTAAAAGCACACATCTGACAACACACAATAAACTTCCTGACAATTTTGTAATCCTATGCTGTAAATTACAGTAGACCCGCAACTTAACGTGTGATTTACTTACGAAATGGCAGCTTTGTGTCAGTGGTCCAGGAATAAATGAATGAATGCAAAGTGGGGAGAGAGCAGTTGAAAAGGGCCGCCTGAGATCTCACCAAGGCCCCCCGTCCCTTCCAGGGGTCTTCCTGACTTTGTGCACAAGCCCCCAGAATGTAGCCCCCATGTAAGTTGTGGGCCTACTGCATAATGAATGCCCCAATGCCCACGCAGGTGAAAGGCCCAAGGCCCCGGCCAGCCCCGGAGTGGTGCTGCACTCCCCGGAGAGATCCTTACCTTGCTGGGGCCAGGCTGCTCAGGGGGGCTGGGGCAGGGGAGGCTGGGGCAGCAGGGCGACAGGGTGTGGTAGCTGGGGTTGGAGTAGTAGTGGGTGCAGCTGGGAGGGACGTCTAGGCAGAAAGGCAGACGGAGACAGGTCAGTACAAAAGCCCCCCATTCTCTGGAAATTCACCACCCTCACCATCCCCCCCAGCCCAATTTCATAGATATTGTAGAGCTGAATCACAGAATAGCAGAGTTGGAAGGGATCCCAAGTGTCATCTAGTCCAACCCCCTACAAAACTATAGGGTGGCCATGCTGGCAGGTGACTGCCCAACCTCTGCTTAAAAACCTCCAAGGAAGGAGACCTCTTCACCTTCCAAGGGAGTCCGTTCTTACTGTCAGAACGTTCTTCTCCAAGACTTGAGTCTTGCTTTGTGAGGGTGGCGTGAAGAGAGAGCCAGGCGGGGCATTCCTCACCTGGCACGGCGTACTCTGAGGCATCCATCCTCGCTGTGGTGTAGGCCACAGCCATGTGGCGATGCTCCTTGTCCTTCTGCCAGTGCCGGTAGCAGAGGAAGGCTGCCAGCATGCCCACCAGCAGGACAGCCAGGGTGACGATGCCCATCACGGCCCCCAGGGAGGGGTTGCCAGCAGGAATGGCAGGAACCATGGTCAGGGGGGGCGGGTCGAGTGTCCCTGCACAGGGAGGCAGCAGAGTTGCACCTTCTTGCCAGAAATGGGGACCCCCATCTCTTGAAGAGCTTCTCTCTTCCTGGGTTCAGAGGGGAC